ACATTTATTTATTTATTTATGATACATTATTCATCCACAAAGAAAATGGTGTCCTTAAAGGTTGGAGTTTCTCATTTTTCTAATTAAGGCATTAAGATCAATATCCAAAAGATGATTTTTTTATTCCTCTTTTTAGGCAACTTTAGCATGGGTGCCAACACTTATTCACACCACTGTAGCACTAGCCATGGACGTCCCTTTCATGTTTCACCTTAAATGAAGGTCATTATTTAATATTTTATGATTCTAATTAACTTTTATAATCTTGCCCTCCTCAGGATTGTTCTTCAACATGACGCATGAAGAGAGAATAGATTCGGATAGGAGATCTATCTATGTGGGGAATGTAAGCGGCTTCGATCGAGTCATATTTGAACGTTATATTTCATATAGTATTGTTCGCAGTGTGTGTTTATGCTGTGTTGTCTGACTTCCAGGTGGATTATGGCTCAACCGCTGACGAATTGGAGATGTACTTTAATGGCTGTGGCCACGTAAACCGAGTTACAATCCCGTATAACCGATTCACAGGACATCCAAAAGGGTGTGTATCCTATCCTTCTGGCTGCAAAAACACCCGATATTTTCACATCAAGCATGATTTATGAGTGTGTTTTCCCTGTAGTTTCGCCTACATCGAGTTCTCCGAGAGGGAGTCGGTGAGGACCGCCATGACTTTAGATGAAACCCTATTCAGAGGCCGTGTCATTAAGGTGCATGATGGGAAACACAATTATTATTTTTTTTATCTAATATTTTGACTTTATTAGCATCCATTGGTGTTGTTCTTATTCTTTCGCTTTTTAACCTGAAACCTGTAGAACCGTATGGTAAAAAGTTTCGAAATTTGGTAAACTTAATAAGCTCAGTCTGAAGATTAACCACAGCCAATTTGGAGCCTCTGCCTCTCTAGCGCCACCAACTGTACAAAGTTACACTCATGCTTACGCTAACAACTTTTGAACTGAGACAAAAGTTCTGAAACTTCTGACTTCTTGAAAAATACTTGAATTCTGACCAAACTTGGTGTGTGTTATGTCAAACCATTAGCTGAGGATGCCTGCACTGTTTTGGCACAGTGCCACCTAGTGGCCGGGAGTATGAAAAATTGCTATATTTGCTTTTATAACTAATGAACATTTTGGCCAAAAATCTAATTTTCCTCACATGAACTGATTTGTTTAGATTAGTTGTAGCATGCAGAGAAGTCGAACAAACCTAATTTTCCCATATTGCTCGTTTTGGCCGTCAGCCATTTTGAATTTTGTCTAAAAATGCTATATTTCACGAACCCCTTGGCTTATTGTTACAAAAAAAACTCTAAGTGTCACCAGTCCAGCATCATGCTTATAATGAATTGTAATTTGCCTATTGTAATGAAACTGGTCTTGATGCATGAGAAGAACATAGAAACCAATTTTGCCATAGTCAAATTTTCTATTACGTTTTTTTTTTTCACCAAAGTTTTCTAATTTTCACCAAATTTAATTCCGATCATCTTAAGACCATGCCGCAAAAAGTTACAGATTTCTGAGATAACAGACACACTGACAACTAAATTAATTGGTCACAGCGCCACCTATTGGTCAAAAGTGATTAAATCATATTACTAGTGATTCTATTTATGATATTTCAGAGATCCTTTTGACTAAAATAACCTTAAAATGTCTTTAATTACTCATTGTTGCAGTTGTTCTGATGCTCCCTGCCAAGCTTAGCTTCTCTTTTGCCTATTTCTAGTTTCTTGGCCCTTTATTTGCTGCATCTAAAACTCTAAAGATTTGAATATGGTGCAAAAGTTCATTTATTTCAGTAATTCAACTTAAAAGGTGAAACTAATATACTATATAGACTCATTACATGCAAAGTGAGATATTTCAAGCCTTTATTTGTTATAATTTTGATGATTATGGCTTACAGCTTATGAAAACCCCAAATTCAAAATTAGAATATTGTGAAAAGGTTTTCATAACTATAATAAAATAAAGGCTTGAAATATCTCACTTTGCATGTAATGAGTCTATATAATATATTAGTTTCACCTTTTAAGTTGAATTACTGAAATAAATGAACTTTTGCACCATATTCGAATTTTTCGAGTTTCGTGTGTATGCATTTCATTTTCATTTTTGCTGTTGTTCTGATGCTCCCTGCCAAGCTTAGCTCCTCTTTTTGCCTATTTCTAGGGTTCTTGGCCCTTTATTTGCTGCCTGCAAATATATATACATACACAGGTGAAACTCAATTAATATGGTGCAAAAGTTCATTTTTCAGTAATTCAACTTAAATGGTGAAATTAATATATTATATAGACTCATTACATGCAAAGTGAGATATTTCAAGCCTTTATTTGTTAAAATTTTGATGATTATGGCTTACAGCTTATGAAACTCCCAATGCCTCATTTTAATGATGTAAAAAATCAAACAAAAAAAGGTGAAAATCTGAATCGTGTCTACAAGTGTTGGTTTCCTTGTAATGAATCTGTTTTTGTTTATGAAATCCAAATCTGTGACCGAAAACCTTTCGATTCCCACCTCTGTGCACTAGGTATTGCCAAAAAGAACAAACATTCCCGGTTTCAGGACGACGGATCCGTACTTGCGTGGAGGCTGGTCCCGGGGACGGGGATCGCGCGCCTCCAGGTTTTACCCGCTCAGAGGCTGCCACTTCATTAGGTCAGTTCAGCCGATACACAACCGTACCTCACACGACATGGACCTTTAAAGATCTCAGATTTCCACAGTGGTCCGTGGCCTTGCACTCTATTCTCTAATCAGATATTACAATATCCACATACTGAAAAAGGTCCATAATCCTTATAACGGTTTCTTGGAAGTGTGGCATTTCTCTGTAAATCCATCGTTTGGCTTTCTTTAATGTTATAAAAATTGTACTTTTTGTTTTAGGGAAAATGGAAGAGCTCGTCCATGGGTTGATTCTTTTTGATATTCATTTTCTGTTATCTTCAAAGCACTTCTTGGTGCTAATTAAAAGTGCAAGTGCATGTAGGGAGTTCAGTTTAGTATTATTATGATTATTTTGTGTGTGTGTGTATCTTGGATGACACTACAGAAAGCGAAGACTTGATTTCATGTTGAGTGGTTACCATTTTATTTACATTTTATACCATTTCTTTAAGAAACCATGCCTGTGAGAGGCCGAAACGCCTCGTGAATTTCAGTACTTTTTCTATTTTTGCTTTTTCAGTGCTTTAGACTTGAGCAAAATCACTGTAAATAAAAACAATATCATCACGAGTCATTTTATTAAACACAAATTCTTTCTTTATTTTCACCAAACACCCAATGGACACTGATGTAAATATGTATATACAGTTGTAAAGAGAGGAGATCAGCACGTCTGCACCATCATAGCTGAAACTATACCGTCAAAAGCCCTGAGGAGAGAGACCAATATTATATTAGTGTCTTAGTATCGAGAAATACTCCATGGGCCGTTCCACCGAATGGGTGACATTTGCTTGTTGTAACTCTTTAAAAATAAACTTTATTTTTGATCTTTTTCAACTTTGAATCTAATACTACACATATTTAACTATTCAAAATGTGTATTGGTCAATCTCAGGCAACTTTATTTATTTAAGCAGAATATGGACGCATGTTTTCTCAATCCTGTTACCAAAAATCATGTGTCATTTAAAAAGTCAATTAATTCCTTTGTTTTCCCCACAAGAAAGTGTTTATTTTAAAGAAACTGTTGGTTATATGTTCAAAAAATTGATATTTGTGCCAATAAAACCACTATTAAAGCAAGGTGTATTTTGATATAAAAAAACACAAAGGCATTTTTTTCATTTTAAAGATGACCGAAGCCTCAAGCTTATAAATTTTTTTTTAGAATTAATTCATTAAATAATTGTATAAATTATGGGCCAAACAAAAATGATAAATAAAAATAGTGGTTTAATTTCATTTATTTTTTTTAGAAAAAGAAACAAATAGTAACAGGACTGAAGGTAACAGGATTGAGTTTTTAAGCAAAAAGTTATCAAATATATGGCACATGGCCACATAGCATTGATGCTAATAGCGTGAGGACACTGAGCCATTTACCAAAAGTTAATATTTATAAAATAAAACAATTAAATCTAAGAAAACGTTTAGATGTTGAGATTGACCTCATTCAGTTACAATTTCATCAAATATACAGAAACGAAAATGAGAGGAGTGACTTATAGTCGCCCCATTGCCTTCTGTTGAAAATGTGTCTTGTGGAATATTCTACGTTTTTCAGATAGGGGATGTAATAGTCTCACGACTGAGTGAAAACCCAGGGACATGACTAAAATTTGTATTTTATCTAAAATATTAGATCAAATATTTTTTTCTTTTTTAATTTTAAAGCAGTTTGGATATAAAGTCACACGACAATGCAAGAAAAATCAGATTTCTGAAGGATTTTAATCATAATTTTTCATGGTAAAGTTTAGAGATAGAGAGTTGGGACATGCAGAAAATGCTATTTTTTAGTGTTCTGTGTCGTTTTTGTTAATGTTTTCAATTATACGTTTTAAATTTGTAGTTAGCTAAATGTGCATGACATTTTGCTTAATAATAAAATGTATTTTAGAGATAATTTTCATGCAATTTTATACATATAAGGTCCTGGGGACAGGAATGTCACTCTTTCGGTGGAATGGCTCCCATGCATTCACCAAAGGAACTTACTTTGATTGAATCGGATCACCGGGATTGTAGAAAGGGTTACACATTACATCAGTGAAGGAGTTGTGCAACTTTCTGAACATCTGAGGAAAGAAAAGAAAAGTGTGATTGACATTGACGCACGTCATCTTCTTTTGTCGTTGCAAAATTGACACGGTACACCCATGCAACTCACACTTCTAATTTCATTATCTCTCAGAGATGCGTTGGAAGAATCCACAACAATCACAAACTTCACCTTGGAGTTTGTCACGTAGCCATATCTGTCATTCTGGTTAAGATGAACATGTGCATCAGAAAGGGACAGTCCACACAAAAATAAAAATTTGCATCGTCGTCCCAAATGTGTATGCATTTCTTCATAAATGTACATATTTTGGATAACGTTAACTAAAATGCTTGGGTGATCGATGACCTTTACTGTATTAACACATTTATCTTCCACATAAGAAAGTCATAGATTTTTGTGTGAACTGTCCCTTTAAGGATTCGTGGTCAACCGTGCGTGTGTATAAAATTATACAAAATTATGTAATTTAATGAGAGCGAATCACAAGTAAAAATATACGCTGATATAAGTTAGTTGAAAGCAAAATCAATTCTTCAACTACTGTAGTGAAGTAATGCATGACTTTATGTATTTAAACTAGGGCTGTCAAACGATTAATCGCATCCAAAATAAAAGTTTGTTTACATAATATGTGTGGGTGCACTGTGTATAATTATTTTTTGTATATATATATATATGCATGTATATTTAAGAAAAAATATTTAAAATATTTAATATTTTAAATCTATACACAGTATTTACATGAAAATGTTTTTTTAATTTTATACAAGTGTGTGCGTATATATATATATATATATATATATATATATATATATATATATAATAATTATACACCGTGCACCCACACATATTGTGTAACAAACTTTTATTTTGGATATGATTAATCGCGATTAATCGTTTGACAGCCCTAGTTTAAATACATAATCACATCCAAAATAAAAGTTTGTTTACATAATATGTGTGGGTGCCTTGAGTAATTATTATATATATATATATATATATATATATATACACACACACACACATGCTTGTATATATTTAAGAAACATTTTCATGTATATACTGTATATAGATTTATATATCATTTATATTATATATAAATATAAATATTGTATATATAAATATTTTTTGTCTTAAATATACATGCATATGTGTGTATTTATGTATATATATATATATATATATATACAAAATAATTATACACAGTGCACCCACATTTATTATGTAAACACAAACTTTTATTTTGGATGCGATTAATCGCGATTAATCGTTTGACAGCCCTAATTTAAACTCACTTTATTAAGCAATGTCTTTGCTGCTGACCTTCAATGATCCAATTCAACCATACTAATAAGCAAAAAATTACTTCTATTGTTTCAATTAAGTTGAACTTTCTTCACCGGCGATCCAGAACAGCAGAAAATAACGCAAAAAGTTACACAATACTTTCTATGAAAAAGTACCGTTTAGTTACTTTTTTTAGGCAGTACCACATTACTTCTACTTCATAACTTTTGCCCATTCTGCATCACAACTTGCGCTTCCTTTAAGGATACACCTTGTAGTCCTCGGTGGGATACAGGAGGCCGAGGTAAAGCTCGCGTTGGTCGGCCAAGGCTTTGCCCACGCCGGAGATCTTCTCCTCCACCACGTCCAGCGAAGTGTGCACTGTGTAGTGGAACTTGAGTTCTCCCTGCGTAGGGACGCTCCGGATGTACAGGGGATAGTTCTGCAGAGATCAAGCTCAAGTTACTTTATTTGTACCTGGAGGTAGATTTTGTTTGCAGTGGAGTCTTGTCTTGGAGAACACGCATCATTCAAACATAACACAGTAAAAAATCGGAAATGACAAAAATGTAAATTAAAGGGATAGTTCACTTTGAAATTAATTTTTGATACGTTATATCTTACCTCAAGGCCAGTCAAGATGTAGGTCTTTGTTTCCACAGTATTTTCAATTTGGAATAAAAACTATATAAATACTGTTGGTTTTCTCACACGGCCATCAATGAGTACTTACATTTACGAGTCATTAAATCATGTTTAATCTGGACTTCTCTGTGCTGCTCTTTGAGGTGGTGACCATAGACCTCCATTATTTGACAGACAAGAACGGTTTGACCTACAAATATCAAAATTGAAAATACTGCGGAAACAAAAACACCTTCATCATGGATGCCCTTGAGGTTAGATAAAACATCAAAAATTAATGTCAAAGTGAACTATCCCATTAAATTAAAAACAAAAAAAAGTTCTTATCGGTCCATAATAGATTAAAATGTACATAAAAGCAATAATACAATATATAAAAAGAGATCAACGCAACGGGGAACGTCTATTTCAGCATGCGATTAGAAATGATTGTGCTTGATTTAGCTAACACTATAACTTTAGTTATGTTATTATCAGATTTTTTAAGCAATCCAGATTACTCAAGTAACACTATGTAGCTACTAGTTAATCTCACTTTATTAACCGTTGTCTTTGTTTAGAGGCAAGTTTGCTATTACAGGGAACGCAACCATTTCAGCATGTGATTCGAAATTGTGCATTATTTAACATTGTTACACAATTAGATAACTTTTTCATGTAATGTAACGTGTTATCTATGCATTTAATCTCACTTTATTAACAAAAGTCCTTGGAAAGAGACAGGTTTGCTATAACACAACACATGTCAGCATGCGATTAGAAATGAATTGTGGCAATAAACATAATCTAACATCAGTCACTGATGAAGATCATTACACAGCTGTGTTTGAGATCTAACTAATAAAGCTAATACAATAAAGCCAGAACCATTATTCATGTCCTAGCATTTATGTATTCAAGTCAGTCTTAATATATCATGACTGATTTCAGTGTACTTTTACTGGATTCATAAAGATTTGGCGTAACGTAAAGTCTTCAAGTGTTTTGTTCTTGTAATTCTATATTTGTTTATTTATTTGAAAACTTGTCCTTGCCATAATTAATGTCAGTACATTTGATTAAATCTCTACAGTCAACGTTTTTCTTTACTATTACTCATCTCATCTACTGTTACAACCTAACTTAACTCTATAAACCCTCATTTACACAGTTCAGGAGGAGTTGTAGAGTTAAACTACTTCAATTTGTCCCATACAAATGCGGTAACGTTAATATTAAAGCTTGAGATGCAAACATACTCTAGTCTCACACGACACAAACACTGCACGGTTGCCAACAAACTGGGTTTATTGCATTTTAAGCCTACAGTACACTAAATTTTAATAAAAACATCACGTAAATATTTTTGAACGCATTTAAATGTTTACTTATAAAGCAGCCGCGATTGCAACACATATCAGAAACTCTTAGCAATAATTAGTAAAATTATTAATTTAGCGAGTCAAATGTATTCAAACATTACCAATACATGCTTTGATGTATCTTAAAAAGATCAAATGTTGTTTATTTACCTCCTTCGCGATGACTGCTATACACACCGCCATGATGATGACGCGACAGACACCGGTCACGTGACACGCAAAAAGTCATATGACTCGTAGTTTCACACTTTACAGCGTGTAGAATGTCTCGGACGCTTAAAAGTTCCGCTTCCTGAATATTAGCATGTGTTTTAAGAAAGTTATAATCTGTGTGTTGTGGACAGCATGTGTGTGTCAGACTGCAGGAAAACAGCATGATCCAAATATCATCATCATGCTTATGGATGACGTAAGTCCTTTATGGCTCTTTCATTAGAGGTTTGACTGACCAACTCAGAAGAAGAATCACACTGAAACCTACGTCGTTTGTGTTTATATAGTGTATACGAGCGACACGTGTATTTGTGCAACATATAATTGATCTGTGAAGTTGTTTTGATGTTTATTTGTTTTTATGTGCGTTCACTCGCAATTACAACTTGTAAACTGGGAATTTCCCAAACTGTACCACGTGACCACTGCAGATTCACTATGTGAACCGAACACGTATAATATGAAATATTCTGAAATATCTGAAAACCAGTGAAATATTAATTAATTGAAATTGTTTTCCCCCTTGCATTATTTTTGCATATTAGAATAAAACTTGTAGCTGTAGTTTTCCCTTTTTTGTAAATCTCATCTTTAAACATCAAAATTGCATATTTTAAAAAAAAATAATTGAAAAAAAAAACGTGTTCTTGCTTTAAAATGTGTTGAATGTAACTCGACACCCTTGCCTCATTTAGTATGCGTGGTTCTATGAATATGCAAATGAGCCCCGCCCCCACTCACTCCCTTCACTCAGAGATCCACTGGTTGACGATCACACGTTGATCTGATTGGTTACAAGGTCGTTTGTGACGTCAGAAACACCAGCGATTTCAAAGCGTACTTTTGAGACTGTCTTTGCTTCACTGCTTATGAATACTATATTAATACTCTCTGTATATATATATATATATATATATTACTTTTTATTATATATATTATACGTTTTTTCTGTATCTCTCTCTCTCTATATATATATATATATTTATTTATTATGTACCATGAATTGTAAACTGATGCTCAATGCTGTGTGTGTGCAGATGGGATGGGGTGATTTGGGGGTGTTCGGGGAGCCGTCCAGGGAAACCCCGAGTTTGGATCTGATGGCCGCTCAGGGAATGCTGTTCCCGAACTTCTACGCTGCAAACCCGCTGTGTTCCCCCTGTACGTCCAACTCAACATGCTTTAATGCCATCACTGTAATAATACAATAATGCCAAAGCTTCGAATACATAGAATAATAATAAAATACTGTACTCTGACTAGGGTAAACACTTTACTGTCGCATATTCATTTATATCAGGTTATCATCTTGGAAATAAATGTAGGTGTTTATTTTGCCATTCCAAGTCAACAATAAAGTAAATAAAGTCATGTTAGTTCTTTAATTTAAGAGCTGTAGCTCCGGTTATACGATGGAAGCTTGTTTCCGCCACAAAATAATACATTTTTAAAGATACTTACGACGTTATCTCACAATTGTGAGTTTTGCGAGTTATAAAGTCCGAATTGCGAGAATTTCTGACTTTTTTCTCTTGCATTTCTGACTTTATAACTAGCAATTGCACCTTTATAACTCGCATTTTTGACTTTATAACTCGCAATTGCAACTTTACAACACGCAATTCTGACTTTATAACTCGCAATTGCAACTTTACAACACGCAATTCTGACTTTATAACTCGCAATTGCAACTTTATAACTCGCATTTCTGAATGTAAAACTCGCAATTGAAACATTATTTCACGTAATTCTGTGAAAAAAATTCAGAATCGTGAGATAAAAAGACGCAATTACCTTTTTTTGAAACGAGTCGTCGGTAATTCCACTTCCTGTTAAAAACCAACCTAATTTGCATAATGCCGCCTCTTTTCATGATTGGCTGAGCAGCGTCTCTTAGCTCCGCCCTCACTGTAGTGTCTCTGAGACTGCGTTGTTTCGTGTCGAGAAGACGCTGCGATTCCACTTTCCAAAGGATGAAACTCTCGCTGGAATTAATACGGTAAAACTGACGCCATCGTTACGGTTCGCATCATTTTGTATTAAGCGCTGGGGAAACTGAAATTAAAATATGCTAATCTGCGTTTAGTTTCCGACACGTGCTGTAAGTGTTCGACTCAATAATTTACTCATTTAGACACGTACCGCCACCTTCTGGCAGGTTTAGTTTCTTATTTAGAGTATCATATATCGGTATGTTATAAGATGTTTTGAAGAATGTTAGTAATCAAATTGTTTTGGTCTTTAAATATATATAAATACCAATTCAGATTGAGCTTCTGAAAAACATCAACAATGGAAGTGCAATGTTGAGTGTAATTTGCCTCATTTAGTATGCTTGGTTCTATGAATATGCAAATGAGCCCCGCCTCCATTCACTCACTCAGCTCAGAGATCCACTCGTTACAAGGTAATCAAAACGTACACAAAAGTAAAAATCTACTTTTTTAAATAAATTTTCTCGTTTAACACAATAATGATCTCTCAGCCATGTGTGTTTAAATTGCTCTTTTAAATCGTTAATCACTTGACAGCCCTACAAATAAAATATGAAGCATTCATTATACAGTTCAAAAATGTATATTTTTCTGAAGAATTTGTTGGCTACGGATTGTGACGTATTGAATGTTTTGATTTACACCGAAAGGCTATAACGATATTGTAGTTTGCAAATATTATTATAATTTCTTCATCCGTTTTAAAACACGAGACGTGTGCGGCTGCATGATAGTGAGACCACAACTTATTATGCTAATATGGGTAATACACTGGCAGTTCTGAAATATGCTAATTATGCATAATTTGGGAAATTTGAATGGACTTGCTATGCAGAGCAGATCTTCTTTTGGTCCTCTTTTCAATTCTAATTAATTTTTAAGCAAATAAGGCTTAATCAATAGTTAATCTCACATGTGTGAGATGAAGGAGCCCGAGGCGTTCGCCGTACCTGCCGTCATTAGAGAGCTTTTGCTTCAGAAGCTTAATTAGTATTTTAATCACAAAGTAGATAGAGAACTTCCTAATCCTCGTATCCAGGGTGAGCTCTCTCGTGTCCAACGCCTCTTCCCTTTCTCTCAAATCAAGTCTTAAACACTATACGATTTAAACTCCAGGAAATGCGTGCGTGTTGTGGACAAGCGTATTCAACTGTGATTTTAGAGCTGTGAGAGTTTGCAGTGCAATAACGTGTTAGTTTAGTTTGCACTGAAGTTTATATACGAGTTGCAACATTTTATACAAGTACAGGTCTTTTGTATCACAGGAGTGTAACGATGTATCGCAATACAAAAATGCAACAATGTGTATCATGGATAGAATTTCAACGATAAGTTTTCAGAGTGTCAGAACTACATTAAACACATTTAAATAAAATGTTTAATAATGCAATATTTGTGTCCTGATGATGCAAAATGTCTGATGTTGCCAGTAAAAGTGTCCGACATTATTTTAAATATATATAAATATAATCCCTGACATTTCCCCCCTAATCTTATAATTGCATAATAAGCATGATTTGTGTGTTTTATTCCACAGCCAGGGCTTCTCTGCTCACTGGAAGACTTCCCGTGCGTAATGGTTTCTACACCACCAATGCTCATGCTAGGAATGGTATGAGCCGAAAACGTTTCTTATCAGCAGTGTTGTATGTCACTCATTACAAGTAACTTGAGTTATGTAATCAGATTACTTTTTCAAGTGACTAGTAAAGTAACGCATTACTTTTAAAATTTACAACAAAATATGTTTTACTTTCTCAGATAAGGAATGCAAGATATACTGATAACCAAGTTAGTGTGAAAAGTAATGCGTTACAACATTGCGTTACTCCGTTAAAAATCTATTAAGTGTGTTACTTAGTTACTTTTTAAGAAAAGTATTGCGTTACGTTACTTTTGGGTTACTTTTTTTCCCTCACACACACACACACACACACACACACACACAAATAAAGTAACTCTTCTTACGACTTTATAGCACACTCCTATATCCAATGTCCCGTTAACGCAAGTTATGTAATCAGATCAGATTACTTTTTTAGAAGTAATCTGATTACATAAAATAAATATCTGAGTTACTTTTTATTTCTCTGTCCTCTGATGTACAGCAGTGAATGAGCATTTCCTTCAGCCTGAGGCTTTTGCATAGCAAAAGGGCCTTTACATTCACCAAAATAAATAAATAAATAATATATATTTATATATATATTTATTCATAAAAATATGTATATATACAGTAAAACTTTTCTTCAATTTATTATAACTCTGCCTCCAGGTCTTCATTCATCACATCTTGTTCTGGGTATTTGACTGTAAATCCCTGTACAGTAAATTCAGAGGCCTATTATTAAGTGTAAATACAGTGTGTGCATAAGTATTATGCAAATTGAAGCACATTTTGCCAATTCCAAACCACATTATTCTTAATAACTACTATATTTTTGGTATTTTAATCATTTTATAAGTGATATATAATTGTTAAGGAGGGCTGGGAGTGAAAAACGGCGTATAATCAGGTGTGCATAATTATTAAGCAGGTTTTCTTTTACAGGTAAAATGGGCCAAAAAAAATGAAAAGTCAAAAATTAATAAATGCTCATGAGAAAGATGCAATGCTAATGATAATGCGTTGGGAAAAGGCAGTAGAATTCGGAAGAGTTTGGAAAAAGGCGGATTAGATCCTGTTATCAGACAGGTTTCTTTTGTAATTTTTTTACTGTAAATAGCCTCCGCCTATTTGTTCTTGGTGTTAAATATAAAGTGCACTTTAGTATTATACAATACGCCGTTTTTCACTTCCAGCCCTCATTAACAATTATATATCACTTATTAATTATTAAAATACCAAAATAATAGTAGTTATTAATAGGGATGCACCGATATGAAAATTTTGGCCGATACCGATAATCAATAATTCTTTATATTTGAACGCCGATAACCGATATATCGGCCGATAAATTGAAATCCAAATTTTTATCTAAGTTTGAGAGCCTGATTACAAAAACAAAAGTCTCACAATTAAATCCATGTACCAAGCGCACGATTATAATGATGTTCTCATTATAGTGTTGTGTAGCCAATACGACAGATTTCCACAGATTTATCGGCTTTAATATATCGGCCACATTTACTTACCAGGCCGATAATGGTAACATTAAAAATGAACATATATCGGCCGATACCGATATGCTGACCGATATATCGTGCATCCCTAATTATCAGGGCCGGCGCTCCGCACACGCACATCACGCACTGCGCGTAGGGCACCAAGTGCTTGGGGGGGCACCAAAAAATCTGGGTGGTGAAAAATCATCACAATAGGCTACTAGTATAAATAACAAATACAATATGTATAAAGCATGTTAATATACAAAAGCAATACAAAAGTAATATAGGCCTAGACCAAATTAGTGGAGAAAAAGGTGAATCTCCTGTGCCACTCTCCCTCTGGTGCCCCCCCTTCCCCACCTCGCAGTGGTCTGTTCCTCAATCAGTGTCAAATTTGGCAGACACCTGATCGACATCAGACATGGCCTCGAAAGAGTCGGGGGCGGAAAAAAAGAAAAAGAAGAGACAGTGGGATGATACTTGTTTGCAGGTAAGACAATGTTTTAAATAAAAGTGTTAGTTTTGTAGGCACCCTTGCTTCGTGTATGCATGTCCAGAGGGGCGTCGCTAGTTGTGCAAATGATCCAGGGCTTTGCCCTGCATGTAGAATTTTTTATTTTAACGGGGGTCCGGGGGTTTCTCCCTGGGATTTTTTTTTTTTTACTTGGGCTGTTTAAGATGCAGTTAGTTTGTTTGAGAAGAAAAGGAAGATCGCTTAGATATGTTTTTTCGTTGTTGTTCTATCGGATAATGCGGTCAAAGGCCCAAGGGCGACATCTATTGGTGAAACTGCAATTAGAAAAAAAAAAAACACAATCTCACTGTTTGTATATTTTCATATGGAGTTGTCAAATTATTAGGGCTGGGAAAAGCGTAATCACATCCAAAATAAAAGTTTCTACATGAGTACTATGTATAATTATTTTGCATATGTAATATACACACATATGCACATATATATTTAAGAAATATTTGCATGTATATACTGTAGATAATTTATATTATATATATAATATAAGGGGGAACCACCAAGCATTTGTGCTTAGGGCACCCAAATGGCTAGCGCCGGCCCTGCTAATTATTAATATTAATGTGGTTTAAAATTGGCAAAATGTGGAAAAAAAAGTATGATCAGAATATCAAGTGCACTTTAGTATTATATAACAAGCAAGCAAGCCAAGCACAGGTGAGAAAGCAACACAATATTGTTTGCAACGCATAACTTTTAAAAGTGGCTAAATGTGTTGTCTCTCCCACAGCATACACACCTCAGGAGATTGTGGGGGGAATATCTCAGGACGAGATCCTGCTTCCAGAACTGCTGAAAAAGAAAGGTTACGTCAGCAAGATCGTTGGAAAGTGGTGAGATTCCCTGCAGAATAATGATATAAAAGAATATGATGAAGGAAAGTGAAATGTTTTAAACAGGAGAATGCATTTTAAATATCAGGTGAGGCTTCATCATTTAATTTAATTTGTACTAATTTTATGTAAAAATCAAACTATCAGCATCAGCATATTTATGGGATCGGTGCGATTTTTTTTAAATGTTTTTAAAAACAAGTTTCTTCTGCTCACCAAGGCTGCATTTATTAGATCCAAAAAATATAGCTATATAACTAATATTGTGAAATATTATTACAGTTTTAAATGAACTGTTTTTTTATGTGAATATATAGTAAAATGCAATTTATTCCTGTGAGTTTTCAGCATCATTAGTCCATTCTTAAGTCTCACATGATCCTTCAGAAATCACTCTAAGAAACATTTATGATTATTTTCAATGTTTTTCAGGATTCTTTGAAGAATATGAAGTTCAAAACAACAGCGTTTATCTAAAAATAGAACCTTTTTTAACATTATAAAGTGTTTTTTCTGTCACTTCTAATCAATGTTATGTGTCCTTGCTGAATAAAAATATTAATTTCTTGTGTTATTGTAAAATGTAAAATTCTTGCTGACTCCAAACTTTTGCACGGTTGAGCATAATGTTACAAATGCTTTCAGTTTCAGATAAATGCTGCTCTTTTGAACTTTATACATCAAAGAATCCTGAAAATAATTGTATTGATAAAATGTATTTTTTTTCCGCACAGTGTACACACTCCATATTGAATACACCTGCCGTCTTCATAAGGGTTTTTCATCTTTATCTCCTAACTCAGGCACCTTGGGCACAGAAGTCAATACTTGCCTCTGAAGCGTGGGTTTGACGAATGGTTTGGTGCCCCGAACTGCCATTTCGGCCCCTACAATGACAGCTTCCGACCCAATATACCCGTCTACAATAACTCTGAAATGAAGGGAAGGTGAGGTACAAACCTGATGCTTGCTAAGAACAGCTCAGAAACCGCATAGCAACATGCTGTTAATCATGGCCAAAATATCGCTTTTCAAATATAAAAAATTATCGCTTATCTGTATCTGCTTTAGGTTTACCGGCCAATATATCGGTTATCAGCTTATCATATAGGAAGAGTTATCGGTATCTGATATTATCGGTCAATATATCAGTTATTGGCTTTTTAAATGTAAAGAATTATCAGTTATCGGTATTTGCTTTAGGTTTATCAGCCAATATATCGGTTATCGGCTTTTTAAATAAAAAGAATTATCGGTTATCAGTATCTGCTATAGGTTTATCAGCCAATATATCGGTTATCGGCTTTTTAAATATGAAGAATCATTGGTATCTGATATAAGTTTATCACCAAATATATCGGTTATCGGCTTTTTAAATGTAAAGAATTATCGGGTTTCAGTATCTGATATTTTCGGTCAATATATCAGTTATTGGCTTTTTAAATATGAAGAATTATCAGTTATCGGTATTTGCTTTAGGTTTATTAGCCAATATATCAGTTATCTGCTTTTTAAATGTAAAGAATTATCGGTTATCAGTATCTGCTATAGGTTTATCAGCCAATATATCGGTTATCAGCTTTTCAAGAATCATTGGTATCTGATATAGGTTTATAGGTCAATATATTGGTTATTGGCTTTTTAAATATGAAGAATTATCGGATATCAGTATCTGCTAGAGGTTTATCAGCCAATATATCGGTTATTGGCTTTTTAAATATAAAGAATGATTGGTTGTCAGTATCTGCTAGAGGTTTATCAGCCAATATATCGGTTATCAGCTTTTCAAATAGGAAGAGTTATCTGTATCTGCTATAGGTTTATAGGTCAATATATCGGTTATTGGCTTTTTAAATATGAAGAATTATCGGTTATCAGTATCTGCTAGAGGTTTATCAGACAATATATCGGTTATCAGCTTTTCAAATATGAAGAATCATTGGTATCTGATTTAGGTTTATAGGTCAATATATCGGTTATTGGCTTTTTAAATATGAAGAATTATCAGTTATCAGTATCTGCTAGAGGTTTATCAGCCAATATATCGGTTATCGGCTTTTTACATATAAAGAATTATCGGTTATCAGTATCTGCTAGAGGTTTATCAGCCAATATATCGGTTATCGGCTTTTCAAGAATCATTGGTATCTGATATAGGTTTATAGGTCAATATATCGGTTATTGGCTTTTTAAATATAAAGAATTATCGGTTATCAGTATCTGCTATAGGTTTATCAGGCAATATATCGGTTATCGGCTTTTTACATATAAAGAATTATCGGTTATCAGTATCTGCTATAGGTTTATCAGCCAATATATCGGTTATCAGTATTGGCCAAAATGTTCATATCAGTGCATCCCCATTTTATTGTTTTGTCAAATTGGCCATTGTCACTTAACGGCAGTGTTTTGGAATGTTACTTTTAAAAGCAATGCGTTACAATATTGTGTTACTCCCTAAAAAGTAACTAATTCCATTACTTGGTTACTTTTTATGTTAAGTAGTATGAGTTGAGTTACTTTTGTGCTATTTTTTTCTCACCTGGGCAAACAACCCCCCATACAGTTTTTTTGTTTTTGTTTTGTTTTTTGGCTAATGTAAAAAGCTCTCATCTCTATGACATCTGTGCGTGCAAGAGAGGTAATTAAAGGGAATGGTTGGATGGTACTCACTGCTGGCCATGGTGATCTAACTGGACAGGCTGGAAGAAGATTTTTAATGTTGATGATTTTACATATGCATCTGCTTAGATATGCTATCGCTGGTTTCTGTTTTTTCCCCGCCTGCGTTTTGATCAGGAGATTCACTACGCTTTCTGAAGATAAGAGTACCGTATAACAGTGAAAAATGCGGAAAGCCGGAAAATCCGTCAATGGATTGGAAGGAGATGAAAATCAAGCACCTATAAAAGTAGCTAAAAAAAACTCTTTTGTTTTTCAAAGTTGCTCAATTGTGTGGAAAAATCGCCACACAATTTTCTCCAGAAAGAGTAAAAATGTTGTATTGCTTCACATGAATGCATTTGTTTGGTGAAGTGAATTTCCCTTTTCCTCTTTTTGTACCATCTGCAGTGTTGCATCTCATTTTCTGCCTATTTGTTCCTTCCAAAACACCCATACTGTTTGTGCATTCGGGGTCATTGGCTCTGGCGATAGGGCTAGTTTTGCGCTTAGCCGTGGGTTTAATCAGCGTGGCGTGTTGGAGCCTGGTCAAACAAACACACACGTGTACACCCGAGAGATGGCGGGTTGTGTTGGAACACCTGGAAGAGCCGGAGCATAAGAGAGTCCACGCCTCAGCTCCTTCTCACAACGCGTGTGTCTTCTGAGACACAATCTCGCAATTTACCTCTTCAAATTCACTTTCTAATCACACCCTCGTGCAGCACTTGGTTTAGGAAGCTTGTCATTTGGAACAAGAGCTCATATGGTGCTGAAATGAGTTTGTAGTGATGGTCTCATTAGATCCGCAGGAGGCAGAACGTTTAGATGATCTGTGTATTTTGCAGGTATTATGAAGAGTTTGAGATTAATGTGAAAACAGGGGAATCCAACATCACCCAAATCTATCTGGAGGTGAGTTTTCCTGTTCATTGGCTCGATTAATGTTTATTTGTGCGGATCAGTCTTGGACAGGTGCACTGTGGGATGTGCCTGATGTTGGTTTTGATTTTATCTGTCTCCAGGAAGGCTTGGACTTTATCTCTCGGCAAGCCACGGCCCAGCGGCCCTTCTTTCTCTACTGGGCTCCAGATGCAACTCACACACCCGTTTACGCATCAAAACACTTCTTGGGAAAGAGTCAGAGGGGGCGGTAAGTAGGGCTGAACAATATGGACCACAAAACCTGTCATAAGTCGCACGGGTATATTTGCGACAATAGCCAACAATACAATGCATGGGTCAAAATTATCGATTTTTCTTTTATGGCAAAAATCATTGGGGTTTTAACCCTCAGGTGCTCTTCGGTCAAATTTTCTGTTTTGAATTTTTAAAAATCACAGCTTCATTGCGATGTTACGAAACTTGGTGACTTTTATAGCATTGGGTATGCGAACACACAAAAAAATTGAGGTCATGATCTGAGCATGCTAAGTGGTCGTAAAAAAAAATAGTCACACTTGTGCTCTTCGGTCAAAAATGACCCCCATAGGAAATGAATGGGAAATTGTAAAAAAAAATGGGGGAAAAAATTGTGAATTTTTATTTGTCAATTTTTTTTTTTTATAAGAAATAGTTTTTGAGATTGTTTCATCTATATATTAAAAAAAAAAAGTGTTCATAAACAGCTGGGGAATTCACATGCTTCTCCATAGAGAGCTGTACATGTCATCTAGTGGTTGCACCATGATTCTACGCCTTTTCTCTATACTGTAACCAGATGGTGCTAATTTTCTTGAAAAAAATATTTTTTTTCTGAAGGCCTAGACTCTATATTAAACTAAAATACTGCGTTAATATTTTTTTGAAAAAAATAATATATATATATATATATATATATATATATATATATATATATATATATAGAAAAATATATATATTTTTCCATGGTAAAAATAAACCATAAATATTGCATAAATATTAATAAATTCAATTAAATCGTCTCAAAATACTAAATTAAAAAGAATAAATATTATAGAACAAAAATAAATTGCATTGGTTTTACTGAGATGGAGAAAGTTTCATTTTTAGGTGTCCGGTCACTTTTGACCGGGAAGATAACAAGTGTGACTCCGAAACGAAGAGCACCTGAGGGTTAAGTAAATATCATGTTTCATGAAGATATTTTGTAAATTTCCTAACGTAAATATATAAAACATTTATTTTGGTGAGTGAATGCAGCAAAATTGCAAATTCCAGATATCTTGGCTGAATATTGTCCTATCCTAACAAACCATACGTCAGTGGAAATCTGATTTATTCACATCAAAAAAATTGACCCATGTGATTGGTTTTGTGGTCCAGGGTCACATATCGAAATTATCGAAATATCACAAATATATATATGTGGTCATGTATACATTGGTCATGAACAAAAGACGAAGAAAAAGAATAACTTTTGTAGCTTTAATAAGAATCAGTATATTTACTTCATACATTGAAAACTAAGCAGTGTTTTTATTTTACATTTGATTATTCAATTTTTGTTGTTTAATAACCCTAATGTAGGATAACCTGAGGCCCTAAACACTGTGGTTTACACTGATGCGTAATAACACTTCTTACGCAACAGTAAAACACGGATGTTTACTTCCAGAAGCTGTAGGGATGTTAAGGTGTGCGATTACTTTACACTACTGGTCAAAAGATTGGAATAATTTACGTTTTTATGTTTTGTAATGTGCATTAATAATTGTATTATCTGATTTTACTTGTAAAAAAATCTAGATGCTATAGGTTTATCAGCCAATATATCAGTTATCAGCTTTTTAAATATAAAGAATTATCGGTTATCCGTATAGGTTTATCAGGCGATATATCGGTTTTTGGCTTTTTGAATATAAAGAATTATTTGTATTCAGTTATCACTATCTGCTGTAGGTTTATCAGCCATTATATCGGTTATCAGCTTTTTAAATATAATGAATTATCGGTTATATCGGTTTATCAGCCAATATATCGCTTCTCGGCTTTTTAAATATTTAGAATTATCGGTTATCAGTATCTGCTATAGGTTTATTAGAGAATGTATCGGTTATCAGTTTTCTAAATAAAAAAAAACTAGTGGTTATCCGTATCCGCTTTAGGTTTATCGGCCAATAAATCGGTTTTCAGCTTTTTAAATATAAAGAATCATCGGTTATCCGTATTCGCTTTAGGTTTATCAGCCAATATATCGGTTTTTGGCTCTTTGAATATAAAGAATTATCTGTATTCAGTATCTGCTATAGGTTTATCGGCCAATATATCACTTATCGTTTTTTTTTAATATAATGAATTATCGGTTATATCGGTTTATCAGCCAATATATCGCTTCTCGGCTTTTTAAATATGAAGAATTATCGGTTATCAGTATCTGCTATAGGTTTATTAGAGAATATCGGTTATCATCTTTTTAAATATAAAGAATTATCGGTTCTCAGAATCTGCTTTAGGTTGATCAGCCAATATATCGGTTATCAGCTTTTTAAATATGAAAAATTATCGGTTATCCATATCCGCTTTAGGTTTATTAGACAATATATCGGTTATCAGTTTTCTAAATATACAAAAAAATAGTGGTTATCCGTATCCGCTTTAGGTTTATCGGCCAATATATCGGTTATCAGCTTTTTAAATATAAAGAATCATCGGTTATCCGTATCCGCTTTAGGTTTATCGGCCAATAAATCGGTTTTCAGCTTTTTAAATATAAAGAATCATCGGTTATCCGTATTCGCTTTAGGTTTATCAGCCAATATATCGGTTTTTGGCTCTTTGAATATAAAGAATTATCTGTATTCAGTATCTGCTATAGGTTTATCGGCCAATATATCACTTATCGGTTTTTTTTAATATAATGAATTATCGGTTATATCGGTTTATCAGCCAATATATCGCTTCTCGGCTTTTTAAATATGAAGAATTATCGGTTATCAGTATCTGCTATAGGTTTATTAGAGAATATCGGTTATCATCTTTTTAAATATAAAGAATTATCGGTTCTCAGAATCTGCTTTAGGTTGATCAGCCAATATATCGGTTATCAGCTTTTTAAATATGAAAAATTATCGGTTATCCATATCCGCTTTAGGTTTATTAGACAATATATCGGTTATCAGTTTTCTAAATATACAAAAAAATAGTGGTTATCCGTATCCGCTTTAGGTTTATCGCCCAATATATCTGTTATCAGCTTTTTAAATATAAAGAATTATCGGTTATTATTAGAATCTGCTATAGGTTTATCAGCCAATAAATTGGTTATCAGCTTTTTAAATATAAAAATTATTGGTTATCCATATCCGCTTTAGGTTTATCGGCCAATGTATCGATATTCGGCATTCAATATTTCGGTTATCGACTTAAGTTACTCGTTTGAAAAAGTAACCCCGATATTTTGTTGCAAATTTAAAAGTAATGCATTACTTGTTACTTAAAAAAGTTTAAAACTCATCGTTTTGGCCAAAAATTCTGTTTTGTAATATAGAAATGATTGGTTAATGAGATGTTATTTTTCCTGCTCGGAGGCAAGAATGAGTGCCGGAGGCTTCATTGGTAGTCTTGTCTGCAGCTGTTTAGTATTCAGTCCAGTGCTTTTGAATACTGAGGCTTCAGTAAGCATACGTTCCTTCAGAATGCTAAATGAGGTTTGTGTTGACAGAGGAATGGATCAAGGCTGAGGGGTATTAGCCAGGTGCTGGCAGAGGAGGGATTCAGCCTGACACGCCACATCTTAAAGTTTTATAACCAGCGCACATCTATCTTCCTCCATATATCACATCCATCCATTCAAACGTGGGCTAATATGACAGAATTTGTTATGCTGTCCGGGTTAGAGCCACTGAAGGTTATTTGGGGTAATTTTTAATGGTTTGATCCACCTTTATTTGTATAGCGCTTTTCACAATACACATCATTTCAAAGCAGCTTTACAAAAATGCATTACAATTTAGAGTGATCTGTTATCAGAGGTGATTGTCTAATGTATTTCAGAAATCACAGTTAGCAAAAAAAGCTATTAATTGAATGATTGAGGTGTGTGGTTTGTCTTCTAGTTATGGTGATGCCGTGATGGAGTTGGATTACAGCATTGGCCAGATTCTGGAACGACTGGTCAGTCTGGGAATCCACAACGACACGTTTGTGTTCTTCACTTCTGATAACGGGGCAGCGGTGATGTCTGGACCGAGACAAAGTGCGAAACCATTCACACTAACATAACACACCTATCACAGTTTTTTGCCAGCTTTTTATTTAGTTTGGGAATTAAAAGAAGTGATGCATGAGAAAGCTGAATTTTTAATTAAAAGTGCCCCTATTGTGCTTTTCCGGAAATTACCGCTCATGCGTTGTGTGATTAAAGCTGTTTAAATTTATTGACTCCTAAAAGAAAGAATCGATTCCGAACTGCTGAAACGAGTCGTCATTAATTCCAGTCTCACTTCCTGTTACAAACCAATGTAACTAATTTGCATAATTCTAGGCTATGGTTTTGATTGGCTGAACAGTGTCTCTTAGCTCCGCCCTCAAACTCTGTGTCGAAAAGACGCTGTTTTTTGCTGACAAAGCAAATCCACTTTAATGAGATTGATAAAACCTACGCCATCGTTACTGTTCGTATCACTGTGATCAAGAGCTGAGGAACATCCATTTGACCAATCACAACAGACTGGGCCATGTGACCAATCAAAGCAGAGCAGGCTCTCAGAGAGGCGGGGTTTAGAGAGACTGAATCCTTGATCGTACCATTTTAAGAGAAATGAGGTGATGATGCAATGTATATTATGAGAAACGTAGAGTTTTTTTTGACTTTGAATGCATGTAAATGTATTGTAGGAGACTCCAAAACCAAATAAGAGACTTTTAAAATAGCATAAAAAATTACTTTATATTTTTGTAGGTAATTAATTTGATCCAGTTTATTAATTTATATTTAATAAATTTATCTATAAATGACATATATGTGTAATTTTACACATTATGTGTTATTTATTGTTATTATTTTGTGCTACTTTCATTCTATTGATAAAATGCAAGTAAAATAACAATGTCATTAGTTAGTTGCTCTCTAATACTGGTTGTTTTGTTTATTTTCAATGCCCTCCACAGTCGAGGCTTTGAGTTTGTGATTCTGTCTTGTCTGTTTTCATCCTCAGGTGGCAGCAACGGCCCGTTTCTCTGTGGGAAAGAGACTACGTTTGAAGGTGGGATGAGGGAACCAGCCATTGCCTGGTGGCCTGGACGAATCCCCGCTGGCACAGTGAGAATGATCCCAAGCTATTTCACTAAAAAGTCCCAAATGTGCTTTCCAATTCACTGTATTTCATCTTTCAACATCCCTCAAAACACATAACTATCTGCTTAAACGCTCCATCAGAACTTGCTTTAGTTTTTTTTTTTCCATTTTTAAAATAAGAATTACCCCATCCATCATAAAAGTGCATCGATCCATGATAAACGTGCATCTATCTATCATAAAAGTGCATTTGTCCATCATAAAAGTGCATCTATCCATCATAAAAGTGCATCGATCCATGATAAATGTGCATCTATCTATCATAAAAGTGCATCTATCCATCATAAAAGTGCATTTGTCCATCATAAGTGCATCTATCCATCATAAAAGTGCATCTGTCCATCATAAAAGTGCATCCTTCCATCATAAAAGTGCATCTATCCATCATAAAAGTGCATCTGTCCATCATAAAAGTGCATCCATCCATCATAAAAGCGCATCTATCCATCATAAAAGTGCATCTGTCCATCATAAAAGCGCATCTGTCCATCATAAAAGTTCATCTATCCATCACATAAGTGCATCTATCCATCATAAAAGTGCATCCATCCATCATAAAAGTGCATCCATCCATCATAAAAGTGCATCTGTCCATCATAAAAGTGCATCTATCCATCATAAAAGTGCATCTGTCCATCATAAAAGTGCATCCTTCCATCATAAAAGTGCATCTATCCATCATAAAAGTGCATCTGTCCATCATAAAAGTGCATCCATCCATCATAAAAGTGCATCTGTCCATCAAAAAAGTGCATTTGTCCATCATAAAAGCGCATCTGTCCATCATAAAAGTACATCTATCTAACATAAGTTCATCCATCCATCATAAAATTGCATCCATCCCTCATAAAAGTGCATCCATCCATCAAAAAGTGCATCTGTCCATCATAAAAGTGCATCCATCCATCATAAAAGTGCATCTATCCATCATAAAAGTGCATCTGTTCATCATAAAAGTGCATCCATCCATCATAAAAGCGCATCCATCCATCATAAAAGTGCATCTATCCATCATAAAAGTGCATCCTTCCATCATAAAAGTGCATCCATCATAAAAGTGCATCTGTCCATCATAAAAGTGCATCTATCCATCATAAAAGCGCATCCATCCATCATAAAAGTGCCTCTGTCCATCATAAAAGCGCATCCATCCATCATAAAAGTGCATCTGTCCATCATAAAAGCGCATCCATCCATCATAAAAGTGCATCTATCCATCATAAAAGTGCATCTATCCATCATAAAAGTGCATCTATCCATCATAAAAGTGCATCTAAAGTGCCTAAAAGAGTAATATTTACAATGTTCCATTTTTTTTTAACTTTACCTTTTTTCAGGAAAACCATCAAATTCCTTTAAAAATATTGTCGATTTTTTTTTTTTTTTCTTTCTTTTCTGTTTGAAAATTCTGTTTGATTCCCAGCTCTGGTCTCCTTCCTTCCTTCCCTCCCTCCTTTTTTCCTGATCCGCCGCTCCGCAAATGACTTTTAATTGTATTAGGGTTAGCTGTGCCATGGGGCGGTGGCGTGGGGTATTTCTGGAGGAGCGCGCGCTAAGCTCATATCTGAGGGGTGTGCGGGGTCCTGATAGCGCGGGGGACTGGAGGATTGGGAACGTCTTAAGCGGCTAATCTGTTTGTGTGTTTGCTGAGGTTGGATTGAGCTGTAATGAGGGCTTCAGTATCTGAATATGCCAGGCGTGCCGGATAAAGAACTGAAGGGAAGAGGTGCATGCTGGGATATGTGCCAGGTGTCTGGGCAGTGCCAGAGCGGGATAAGCAGGTGTTTCACACTGTTAATGTTTGTCTCGCGGTGGCAGGCTGGATTTTGCCCGCTCGAGTGTGGCTCTGTGTGATATGTGTATCTTCTCGTCCATTTCTCTTATGGGGAGCATTGATGCCCGTTTTTACTCGCTAACGCTTTATTTCGATAGTCCACTTTAGACATGCTACTAACTACAAGTAAGTTTGCAACTACATGTCAACTAGCAGACTGAGCGTGATATCCGCTAATGCTTTATTTTGATGCTCACGACGGACATTCAAATGACTCTAACTTTTCAACTACATGTCAACTTATTCTACTATCCCGAACGCTATCATCTGTAGCATCAAAATAAAGTATTAGCAGATGTTAAGCTCAGTCTAAAAAAACGCCATCAAGCGCCTATAGCTATTTCAGCAGAGCGTCTAGCGTTTTCAGCTGACTAAAAGCGTTTCGGTGGACACGCGGCTTAATAAAGCTCATCCAAGAGTCGAAATCTGTCGCGGACGCTAGCTCTCGGCATCTCGATAACGCCACGCCAATTTAATCCTCGTTTTATTTTTTCCAAAGTCTGCTGGCCATGATCCATATTATAACGTTTGAACGAAACCACAACAGCGTGAGCGTACCGCTAGACTTAACGCAGTTGTCCACGTCTATCGCCATGGTTACTGTGGGAGTACGAGCGGGAACCAGGGATAACGCGGATATGACGTCATTGACAAGGGATGGGCACTTTTTAAAATAGTTGATTTTTCTGAATTTACAAATTCTTGGAAACATTTAGGATAACGTGAGTGCGCAATAGAAATAAATATGCAACACTGTGCAAGTGGTTTACGTATTATACGCTGTTAACAAACGTGATTCTGAAACCGAAAGGGTGACATTGTATAAAATTGCACGAAAATGAACTCTAAAATACATTTTATTACTAAGCAAAATGTCATGCACATTAAGCTAACTACAAATTTAAAATGTATCTACACTGTGTAACTCTTTTAGTTTATTCTTAGCTAAAAACACTTAATATATGTGCTCATTAATGTATATTTACTTCGTATTCTCGTGAGTGTATAATATGCCATTGAAAATACATACGGGTAAGGGGTTCGCCATGTTGCCCCTCCATCTTGAAAGTACATTAGCCAAAGAGGGACATACCCGTTAATTCAAGCTTCGCCTTTCGCGTTTACGCTTGAGTTAACACTCATGGACGAGCTCGAACTGGAAGCCATGTTAATCTTGGACTACATTGGCCACCGTAGGAGTTAAAACGAAATCGGAATTGAGAGGAACAGAAACTAATATTCACTGGATGGTCATATACCTTTTCACCACTAGATAGGGGTAAAAATCACACAGTGTAACTTTAATAAAAACGACACAGAACACTAAAAAATAGCATTTTCTGCATGTCCCAACTCTCTATCTCTAAAAAAAATTATGATTAAAATGCTTCAGTAATCTGATTTTTATATCCAAACTGCTTTAAAATGAAAAATACAAAAAAAAACAAAAAACATTTGATCTAATATTTAGATAAAATACACATTTTAGTCATGTCCCCGGTCGTGAGACTATTACATCCCCTATCTGAAAAACGTAGAATATTCCACAAGAATCTCATTTTCATTTCTGTATATTTGATGAAATTGTAACTGAATGAGGTCAATCTCAACATACAGTCCTGTTACCTAAACTTTTTCTTGGATTTAATTGTTTTATTTTAAAATTATTAACTTTTGGTAAGGCACTAGAAATGGCTCAGTGTCCTCACGCTATTAGCATCAATGCTATGTGGCCATGTGCCATATATTTGATAACTTTTTGCTTAAAAACTCAATCCTGTTACCTTCAGTCCTGTCACTGTTTTATTTCTTTTTCTAAAATAAATAAATAAAATTAAACCACTATTTTTATCAGTTTTGTTTGGCCCATAATTTATACAATTATTTAATTAATTAATTCGAAAAAAAAAAATATTACCTTGAGGCTTCGGTCGTCTTTAAAATGAAAAAATGCATTTGTGTTTTGTTTTATCAGAATACACCTCGCTTTAATAGTGCATTGGCACAAATATCAATTTTTTGAACATATAACCAACCGTTTATTCAAAATAAACACTTTCTTGTGGGGAAAACAAAGGAATTAATTGACATTCTTCTAAACTTGCTTTTTATGATTTTCGGTAACAGGATTGAGAAAACATGCGTCCATATTATGCTTAAACCTTGTAAAACAATAAATAAAGTTGCTTGAGATTGACCAATACACATTTTGAATAGTTAAATATGTGTAGTATTAGATTCAATGTTGAAAAAGATTATTTTTGAAGAGTTACAACAAGCAAATGTCACCCAATTGGGTGGAATGGCCCGACTACGGTTCACTTCACCGATGGAGTGACGTGAATATAAAAATAAAGGTGTTCATCCGCTCACACACACACACACTGAGTGCATTAGACAGGTCTGTCTGCTCAGATAACTAGCGTCAGAGAAGAAGAGAACGAAGAGGAAATGAACTGGAGATAAAGAATTTTCATTTCCCCTTTTTACAAGTCCCATGTTTTGTGTGTGTGTGTGTGTGTTTCTGGATACGAGCAGCTGGTGGTAACGGCTAGGTACCTTTATTAATTGTTTCCTTTGATTTCTCCTTCTCCTGTGTGTATAAGTATGTATGTATGTATGTACGTCTGTGTGTGTGAAGCCTGAGAGTGAAGATAATGGAATGTACTGGCAATGGTGAAGGGATTTCTGGGAGGCTGAAGTAGGCGACGTGTGTGTGTGTGTGTGTGCCAGCTGCTCAGTGCTGATAGCACTATCTGATTGTGAGCGTGCCGTTTCCCTCAAAGGCCCGTTCAGGAGAGAATAGAATGGAAGATCAAGGATGACAGCGAAAAAATGGCATTTTATCGGAAAATAGTTCAAAGTTTATAAATAAAATAAAGCTTTTTTTGCAGCAGGACTGGGGAGGACAGATAAAGCTGCAGTTGCGGCCTCTGTCCCGACTCTCTTTTCTTTCTCTTCATTTACAGAGATGTTCGTGTGGGTTATAATAAACCAGATTAGACAAGCGCTGCTCTTCTAAACTGTCGATGCTTTGAGAAGCAGAGAAAATGATTTTGCATTGGCGCATGTCTGTGTGATTTGCTGCATGGGTTGATTTATTACAATTTTGAGCATCTTGACTGGCGATAGACACGTATATCAGTGGATATTATGATTATTGATTATGTGATATGATAGATAATTGTGCTGGCTCATCCAATTAACCCATATTTGATATGTAAAATCCGAAGGCCTCTATCTACCTCATGCCTTCTGTTGTCTGATTGACTTTTTTAGCAAGGAAAAGCCTTTTATTTTGAGCAGTAATTTTTTAAGTCCACCTCATACCCAACTTTTGAGTTCAGGGGTAGTGTAGGGCTGCTCGATTATGACAAAAATCATAATTATGGTCCATATTTGAATCACAAATCTTCAACATGATTAGTGGGCGAGATTACCAAAATCTCACACTAGTAAATAAGAAATTCACTTTAGCGATGTATATATAGATATTAGGATATATATATGTATGTATATATATATATATATATATATATATATATATTGCTATGATATAAAACCAATTTTTGAAAAATAATTCTGTAAGACAACAATCAGTATTACAATAAAAACAAAGAAAATTACAAACAATAGGATAAATACATCAGAAAAAAAGATAGAAATGAAATATGTAATTCATTCCAATAGAAAAGGGCAAAAATATGTTTTTATCGTGTTTTCATTATCGTTTGAAGCCAAAATCGAAATCGACAATAAGTTAGGGTTAATTGCACAGCCTTTATGAGCTGCTCAAAATTTATAATAATAATAAAGTCCCCCTCTAGTCTAATATTTGATCACCAATATGACATATTTAAATATTTTCCTTTGAAAAAATATTTTATGCCTTAAAATGTCTTGAATGTAACTCAACACCCTTGCCTCATTTAGTATTCGCGGTTCTATATATGCAAATGAGCCACCTCCACTAACTCACTACAGTCATGAAACTTATTACACAGCATTTCAACTCATAAATAATTATGGGTATAAGAGATATTGATTTCAGATTAAACTGTTTTAATATCGTACCTGTTTGTATCTCATAATCCGACAATGTACAAAACAATAGTCACAAAATGGCCGCCGCTGCTTACATGTTTGAAACAGAGCGAGTTCACGATACCGGATGGCATAATTAAATAACTGTACACAAAATATTGATTCGACTGAGTTTAATATTTTATTAGCTCACCGAAAGCAAAACTTCCACGAAGAAAAATCTCTACTAGCGAGTGTGTAGCCTACGTTTGTGTTCAGCGGCTGTTATCTGGGAATAATAAACTACTTGATGGCGCTATTGACCAATCAGAATCAAGTATTCATCTCTGACATGACTCTTTAAAAGCGTTTTGCTCCTCAGGTAAGCCATCAGTTGGGCAGTGTGATGGATCTCTTTAGTACGAGTCTCTCCGTGGCCGGCGTTCGTCCCCCTGATGACCGTGTCATTGATGGTCTGGATTTGAGTCCTGTACTCTTCAACAACTCACTGCTCGACAGGTAACCCCTCAAAGCACGCGCACATCCTTTCACTTTACAGTATTTTGATCAGACTGATGTATCCATTTTAGGTGCGCGGTCAAAGCAGATTTATTTTTTCTAAAAGTGATAATCGTTTTTTAACAAAAAAGTATTCAATGAGCTCAATGTTTCTGCCTTTAATATTTCTTTGTTTAAATAAATAAATCTTTTGCTAACTGTGATTTGTATACAGGCGAAACTCGAAACATTTGAATATCGTGCAAAAGCTCAGTAATTCAACTTAAAAGGTGAAACTAATATATTATATAGACTCATTAGATGCAAAGTGAGATATTAAAGCCTTTATGTGTTATGATTTTATGATTATGGCTTACAGATATGAAAACCTCAAATTCAAAATTAGAATATTGTGAACAGGTTTTCATAAGCTGAAGCCATAACCATCAAAATAATAACAAATAAAGGCTTTAAATATCTCACTTTGCATCTAATGAGTCTATAATAATAAATTAGTTTCACCTTTTAAGTTGAATTACTGAACTTCTGCACACTATTCCATTTTTTTGAGTTTCACCTTTATTTCTGAAATGTTTAACTTCTGATAACAGATCACTGTAAATTGTGATGTGGATTCATGCATTTTCTGTAAAGCTGCTTTGAAACGATGTGTATTGTGAAAATAAATGTGAATTGAATTTAAAATCTCAGTTAAACTCCCCCAACAGACCCATCTTCTATTATCGTGGAAACCAGATGATGGCGGTGCGGATCGGGCAATACAAGGCGCACTACTGGACTTGGAGCAACTCATGGGAGGAGTTCAACAAGGTCAGCGATCGCATATTCTTCTGTCTCAGTTTCTGTTTCTGATGATCTGAAGTCTGATGATCTCATGCCTGAGTGAACAAAAGCCGTTAAGATATTTAGGTAATGGTCAGTTTCGCTCTAAGAGAGAGTGTACTGTTCTTAATAAGCATCAGTGGAGAAATGATTGGCTGTCTTAAGTGCAAAATAACCGGTTGTCAAAGAGTCTGATGTGAGTTTAACATTTTTAAAATTAATTGGCAGATATTTAAATTACAGTCTTGAGAAGTATGTCTTTCATTTCAATAATAATGACTGATGTCAGGCAGAATTACTGTTGTGATTTTGTTTCTTACTGTGGTCAAAAAATGTATCATGGTAAAGATTTTGGTTGAGAAGTTTGTATTGTGGAAATGGTTTTGGTTCAGATGTACTCATATCATGAATTTTATTTTGTTTGAGAATTATATAGGGAAAAATGATTTTGGTTGAGAATTACTTTTATTGTAAAAATGATTTTGGTTGAGAATTACTTATATTGCATAAATTATTTTGGTTTAAAATTGTGTCTCGGAAATGATTTTGGTTGAGAATTACTTATACTGCAGAAAATATTTTGGTTGAGAATTACTTGTATCTCGGAAATGATTTTGGTTGAGAATTATTTTTGTCTCGGAAATGATTTTGGTTGAGAATTACTTATTTTGTAAAATGATTTTGGTTGAGAATTGTATCTCGGAAAATATTTTGGTTGAGAATTACTTGTAGTGTGACAATGATTTTGGTTGAGAATTACTTATATTGTGAAATGATTTTGTTTCAGAATTACTTGTATCTCGGAAATGATTTTGGTTGAGAATTACTTATATTGTGAAAACGATTTTGGTTGAGAAATACTTGTATTGGAGAAATGATTTCGTTTGAGAATTACTAATATTGTGAAAACGATTTTGGTTGAGAATTACTTGTATCTCGGAAATGATTTTGGTTTAGAATTGTATCTCGGAAATGATTTTGGTTGAGAAATACTTGTATTGTGAAAATTATTTTGTTTGAGAATTACTAATATTGTGAAAACGATATTGGTTGAGAATTACTTGTATCTCAGAAATGATTTTGGTTTAGAATTGTATCTCGGAAATGATTTTGGTTGAGAATTACTTGTATCTCGGAAATGATTTTGGTTTAGAATTGTATCTCGGAAATGATTTTGGTTGAGAAATACTTGTATTGCAGAAATGATTTTGGTTGAGAATTACTTGTATCTCGGAAATGATTTTGGTTGAGAATTACTTATGTTGTGAAAACGATTTTTGTTGAGAAATACTTGTATTGGAGAAATGATTTTGTTTGAGAATTACTAATATTGTGAAAACGATTTTGGTTGAGAATTACTTGTATCTCGGAAATGATTTTGGTTTAGAATTGTATCTCGGAAATGATTTTGGTTGAGAAATACTTGTATTGTGAAAATGATTTTGGTTGAGAATTACTTATATTGCAGAAATTATTTTGTTTGAGAATTACTAATATTGTGAAAACGATATTGGTTGAGAATTACTTGTATCTCGGAAATGATTTTGGTTTAGAATTGTATCTCGGAAATGATTTTGGTTGAGAAATACTTGTATTGCAGAAATGATTTTGGTTGAGAATTACTTGTATTGCAGAAATGATTTTGGTTGAGAATTACTTATATTGTAAAAATGATTTTGATTGAGAATTACTTGTATCGCGGAAATGATTCTGGTTGAGAATTACTCTGACAATATCTGACTTGTACCGCATTGATTCATATTAGCGTTGATATTGTTGCAATAGAAAAACTTAATTCCGAGTCCGAGGATGTGAACAGGTTTGAGTAGAATATCACGTGTTGTCATTTCGTAATTACGGTAATAACGACATGCCGTGAACACATCATGTGTTACAAAAAAAAAGCAACATTGGCCAATAACGGTACAATATAGTACGGTCAGACAATATCATGCATATCTATAGGGGATTTTCAGAGCCCTTCATCATTTGTGCTATAGGCATGAATGATGCCTCAAATTGTTTGGCTTTTGCTTGATGAACAGTAAAACGGGCAAAAATACACTTACATTTAAGGAATATCATGACAATTTTGGTGGACAACACCTTAGCATCATAGTGTCGAAATATGTACAACAAATCACATTTTCTTCAGAAAATGTTATAATCTTGGCTAGTTATTGGCTCACATCCCTGATTTCTTGCCTCTTGATGCAGTAATTGCATTCCAAAATGCACATTAGCGTGTTAATGTTATCTCAACAACAATGCCTTATCAAATAGACTTGAAGATCAGGCAGTAATGAATATTAATGGAGCTAATGGAGCACTTCTGCAAACACGCTTCATCTATTAGCACTATTCCAGCAGCGTTCGGGGTCTCTCATACACACTACACACGCTTCATTTCCCATTAAAGTCACAGAAACACACACACAGTCAAACCAAACATTATACAGACACCAGATGTAATTGTTTATTTTTTTACTAGTGTGTGCAGGACACTATAGTTCATTTATGTAGGGATGCACGATATATCGGCCAGCATATCGGTATCGGCCGATATATGTTCATTTTTAATGTTATCGTTATCGGCCTGGTAAGAAAATGTGGCCGATATATTAAAACCGATAAATAATGTATTATTCCCTTCAGCTGAGACACATGAAAATCTGGTTCGGGACAACATGTGCAACGCAAATCATATCGGCTATACAACACTATAATGAGAACATCATTATAATTGTGCGCTTGGGACGTGGATTTAATTGTGAGACTTTTGTTTTTGTAATCAGGCTCTCAAAATTAGATAAAAATTTGGATTTAAGTTTATCGGCCGATATATCGGTTATCGGCGTTCAAATATAAAGAATTATCGGTTATCGGTATCGGCCAAAATTTTCATATCGGTGCATCCCTACATTTATGTAAGCGAGGAGAGCAAAATAAAGTAAACGGTGACATGATACACCCAAATATTCTTCATACAGAGACTACGGGATCAATATTACTCCACTTTGAGCTGATCATGTTCTGCTGAAGTGTGTTTTCTGTGATATTTTTTTTTTTATATAAAATACTGGTTGAGCTAAACTGGTATTATCTAACTATAGTTAAATTCAGACAGATATTCAACATAATTCATGTGCGAGAGTCCAACAGAAGGACGGACAAAACCAGTGAGAAATCAACTGATTCTGCTCATATTTTATTACCGTTTTCTAAACTATAGTGAATAAACTGTGATAATGTTGGTTTGCCTGTACGTAGTGTAAGCCCCGGGCCTTCTGAACGCGAGGGTTTGTTTTATGCCCCATCGGTTGCTTAAATTGCTCTCTCCTGGATGGCCACTGAATCAATAGCAGCCCTTTATCAGCTCATGTGAACTGGAGTGTAACTTCACAAATAATGGTGTCTGATTGCTTGCGAGCCGTCGATCGATTGTTTGAGCTCGTCTCGTCCTGACGGTTAATGTGTTTTCGGGAGGTTTCACACAAATTACGACGCATTTTCACCTCTAGTGCCATTTGGCATCTCCATTTGCCCATCGTTTCTAAGCTCGGCTCGTACGCGTTTGCATTGATTTGAATGATTGTGGGTGACGTGAGGGGTTAAGCGTTCGGCTTTTTGCAGCCAAAAATTATTCAGACACCAGATGTAATGTGTTACTAGTGTGTGAAGGACAATATAGTTCATTTATGTGAGCGAGGAGAGCAAAATAAAGTAAACTGAGACATATTACACCCAAATAATCTTCATACAGTGACTACTGTGCGGGAGCAAATATAATCCAGAAGTGTTTTGCTGTAATTGCTAATGCTCTTTTTACACACATACTGAACAACATGAAGCATTGGTCACTGGTTGAGCTAAACTGGTATTATCTAATTGTGCATTAACAGATATTCAACATAATTCATGTGTGAGAGTCCAACAGAAGGACGGACACAACCAGTCAAATATCCACTGATTTGAGTCATAATTTAGTGAATAAGAGCCATTCCACCGAAAGGGTGACATTTATATGTATAAAATTGCATGAAAATTATCTCTAAAATACATTTTATTATTAAGCAAAATGTCATGCACATTTAGCTAACTACAAATTTAAAACGTATAATTAAAAACATTAACAAAAACGACACAGAACACTAAAAAATAGCATTTTCTGCATGTCCCAACTCTCTATCTCTAAACTTTACCATGAAAAATTATGATTAAAATCCTTCAGAAATCTGATTTTTCTTGCATTGTCGTGTGACTTTATATCCAAAATGAAAAAAACATTTGATCTAATATTTAGATAAAATACACATTTTAGTCATGTCCCTGGGTTTTCACTCAGTCGTGAGACTATTACATCCCCTATCTGAAAAACGTAGAATATTCCACAAGACACATTTTCAACAGAAGGCAATGGGGCGACTATAAGTCACTCCTCTCATTTTCGTTTCTGTATATTTGATGAAATTGTAACTGAATGAGGTCAATCTCAACATACAGTCCTGTTATCTAAACGTTTTCTTAGATTTAATTGTTTTATTTTAAAAATATTAACTTTTTGGTAAATGGCTCAGTGTCCTCACGCTATTAGCATCAATGCTATGTGGCCATGTGCCATATATTTGATAACTTTTTGCTTAAAAACTCAATCCTGTTACCTTCAGTCCTGTTACTATTTGTTTCTTTTTCTAAAAAAAAAATAAATAAAATCAAACCACTATTTTTATCATTTTTGTTTGGCCCATAATTTATAAAATTATTTAATTAATTAATTCTAAACAAAATTATAAGCTTGAGGCTTCGGTCGTCTTTAAAATGAAAAAATGCCTTTGTGTTTTTATATCAAAATACACCTTGCTTTAATAGTGGTTTTATTGGCACAAATATCAATTTTTTGAACATATAACCAACAGTTTCTTTAAAATAAACACTTTCTTGTGGGGAAAACAAAGGAATTAATTGACTTTTTAAATGACACATGATTTTCGGTAACAGGATTGAGAAAACATGCGTCCATATTCTGCTTAAATAAATAAAGTTGCCTGAGATTGACCAATACACATTTTGAATAGTTAAATATGTGTAGTATTAGATTCAAAGTTGAAAAAGTTTATTTTTTAAGAGGTCAAACAAGCAAATGTCACCTATTGGGTGGAATGGCACATAAACTGATAATGTGAGTTTTGCTTTGACTGTATTTAGGCAGTGATCCTCTTAAAAACAAGACTCTTTCACCCTCTGGATTGTTTCCAGTTAAACCCGGTTGAAATGATGGCTTAATGGTATCGGTCACTCGGGTGAGTTCCTCTGCGGATCGGCGACGTGTGAAATGAGAAATTTCTCGGCGTAAGTGCTTTGCATCCGATGATCCCCGCGCCGCACCGTTGAGCAATAATATGAAGTATTTTAGTGTGCGTTACCTCACAGAAAACACCTGAGAATTCCTCTCTTAAATTACACATTTGACCGCTTTCACTGTACGTAATGATTATGAATCTGAGCTTTGATTGACAGCTGGGTTTGGGGAGGAGCTGTGGGGTTTTTGATTTCTCTCTCTAGTGTAAATCGTTGTTAGATGCTATTTATACTAACAGTGGCAGATAATATTTGCTCATTATAAACAAGGTGGTTAAAGTAAGTAGCCTACTTGGATTTGCCTTTTTAAAGTTTAGTTAAAGAGTAGTTCACTTTTAAAAAAACTTTCTGATAATTTACTCACCCCAACACTGTAAAAACCAATTAGTTCAATTTACTTAATTTCATTAAGTTAGCATAACTTAATTGCATCAAGCATGCAAGCATTGCATGCAATCCATTTAAGTTTTGTCAACTTAATTTTGTCTGTGATCTGAGATCTGATTGCTTTGTTTTTCTATTTTTGGCTTTATTTTACCATTACAATTTTATTTGCTATCGTTATTGGGGTTATACGTACAAGAGAACGCAAAAAAATAAAAAATAAATTGCAACGATCAATTAATTAAATCATTTTAAAAAATGATGCTCAAACCAGTCAAGTAATGTTTACAAGGTTTTTCTGGGTAATGAAGGCATATAGCATGCAAACACTACACATTACTAGTTCAACAAATTATTGGACATTAAGTAAAGTTAACAAAAAAATTCTTAGTAAGAACAATGTTAGATTTTACAATGCATGTCATCCAAGATGTCCATGTCCATGTCGAAAAGAAATTAAGGTTTTTGATGAAAACATTCCAGGTTTTTTTTCCATATAATGGACTTCAATGGGAACCAAACGGTTCAAGGTCCGAATGAGAGTTTCAGTGCAAACTGTTCAAAGGGCTTTAAACGATTTCAGACGATGAATAAGGGTCTTATCCAGTGAAACGATAAATAAATAACAAAGTTTAAGTTTTATAAGCTCAAATGCTCGCCTTGCTCTGTTCTGATGCGCGTTCGTGACTCTCCTGTTCAAACTCGTTCAGCAAAATGAACAAATCTTTTTCCGAGTCATTTGGTTAAATCAAAAAAACGAAACGAACGAATTGACTCATGAGCATTTCGCATGGCTATGAGTGTGATATTGCTCATAAATATTCAAGTTTATGATGCATCTTTCATTATTATATTGTGATATATTCATAAGAGAAAAAGTCAGTTTTAATAAGAACATGCAGCGATATGTTTGTCATCGTATCCTTTCAATGGTTAAAGTTACCAGTCATTGCATCTGCCGCACTTTATTTGTACGATGAGTTTATTTTTATTTCTTTTTTTTAGATAATAAAGAAAGATATTGTTTAATAAATTAGATCTCTGCTGTAGTCCTTGAAAACAAAAAAAGTAGAGCTTAAAGTTAAAAATTCATTTTACAGGATGTGTACGAACTTTGTATAAAACAGTATGCAATAATAACATATTCAGTGTTTATGCGGTTATTATTGTTAAAATAAATGTATGCTGGCTTATTGGGACATTACTTGTGCCATTTCCTAAAACCCTAACCCTATAAACACTTTATTCCCACTTTAAAAACCCGTTAGCTCCCCTTAAAATACAGATTTCTTCAAAGCAGCTTCACTTTGATAATATTAATGTTCTAAAATGCATCAATTATGCAAAAACATGTGATTTGAGCTGTAAAGCAGCTTTGCGAGAAGATGATGGTGTCATTATTCAGATCAATATTGCTTCAATTCTGTTCAGTGCGTGTCAAAGTTATGAAACGAGTTCAATTTGGCTATAAACAGATCTGCTCGAGCCAGTTTGATATTGATTATGTTTAGTTCAATAACAGTGTGGACTATACTTCTCAGTTCAGTTCAAATTTTGTTCTCATCCAGTTAAATCGATAATATTACTGAATATTAATGGTCTTTTAGACCCCGACTGAGCGAGCCAAAGGAGCACACACTCCATTAAGTGGAAGAAAAGAAAGAAAACCTTGGGAAAACCTCTTGAATGCACTTAAGGCAACATTAAGGCAATGTTTCTTGCATTTTCAACCAAATCAACTCTCAGAACCAAAACGTGGGCCTAACAACACTCTAATCTGTAATTTATACTATTAGCTTTCTGTTTGTTGCATTTCTGAACATGCATTTTTAACTACACATTTCAAGTCGGGAAACAGTCGGTAATTACACTGATTTAAATTCGTACAAATTTGCATTTTTAACATGCCACCTCTCCATACAGAAATGTAATGTCAAAATGTTATGTAATGTTATGTGTAATGTCATGTGTTCCAATTGCACATCAACGAGGATATTATATGTCATTTCGTCATGTTATATGTCATCTCGTCATGTTATTTGTCGTGTCATGTTATGTCATGTCATTTCATGCCATGTTATGTCATGTCATTTTAAATGTCATGTTATACCATGTTGTATGTCATGTTATGTCATGTTAAATGTCATGTGATGTTATGTCATGCCATGTTATTTGTCATGTGATGTTATATGTCATGTGTCAAGTGATGTATGTCATTTCATGTTATAGGTCATTTGATGTTGTCATGTTATGTTATGTCATGTTATGTGTCAAGTGATGTTATATGTTATGTCATGTGATATGTCATGTTATGCCATGCCATGTTATTTGTCATGTCATGTTATATGTCATGTTAAACCATGTTATGTGATGTTATGTCATGTTATATGTTATGCGACGTTATGTCATGCCATGTTGTTTGTCATGTCATGTTATATGTCATGTTATATGTCATGTGTCAAGTGATGTTATGTCGTGTGATCTTATGTGATGTTCTATGTCATGTCAAGTGATGTTGTCATGTTATGTCATTTCATGTTATATGTCAATTGATGTTGTCATGTCATGTGTCGGTCAAGTGATGTTACTGTATATGTCATGTGATGTCATGTGATGTTATGTCATGCCATGTTATTTGTCATGTGATGTTATGTCATGTTATACCATGTTATATGTCATGTGATGTTATGTCATGTTATATGTTATGTGATGTTATGTCATGCCATGTTATTTGTCATGTGATGTTGTCATGTCATGTTATACGTCATGTTATACCATGTTGTGTCATGTGATGTTATGTCATGTTATATGTTGTGTCATGCCATGTTATTTGTTATGTGATGTTATATGTCATGACATGTTATATGTTGTGTCGTGTCATGTCACAAAATGTAAATAGCCCAGCCTGTTGGCAGAGGCGATTCACACCGACTCCGCCCACCATTGCCTGATTGGTCCAGACAAGATGATCCGAATCTGGTGTGTGATAACAGGAGCAGTGGAGAGAACAGCAGGCGACGCTAACTTTTGATGCGACCAATCCAAACTCAAATCTACCTTTTACTAAACTCATTCTTCTCCCTCTTCCGACTGCACATCATCATAGAGAGGCAGTTATCTTTACTGAGAAATTGAGAAAAAAGAATATAATTGCCCCCATTTCCACCGTTCTGTAGTTAAGATTCCAGTTTCCTGAAGTTCACATTAAGGAAGTTGAATTAGTTGTGAATGCCATTTCATGCTGACTTTAATCCTGGATGTTTTTGCATAGAGGTTTTTTGAGCATCAACAAATCTGGCATGTGTTTCTGCTCTCTCTCGCGCTGCATTATTAATAGCGGAGCACTGTTGCTCAGGCTGAAGCACTCTCTCCAAACCTGGAGGGATTAGGACTGTTTCATGCCTGTAAGATCACACACACACACACACACACACACACACTGCTTCAAAAGACAGAGAGCAAGACGCAGGCCAGATCATAGGGGACCCTGCGCTGGCATGAAGAGAGTGTGTGTGTGACTCAACACAGTGTTTTATGTAGTCACAATCCCCTTATAACATGATGTCTAACACTGAAATATCAAGAGTGTGTTCATTTCATGTGAAGGCGCTCGTCACACTTCTCAGTTCACACGCGCTAATAAAGCCCTGCGGCCGGTCTCGGAGATACGAGTCACTGTAGCCTCTCACACACACACACTCATCAGCCAAACGTGAACATGTTATTAGTGATGTATATCAGGGAAACGCTGAGTCTCTGGGCTGGTCATGTGATGCGTCTGACTCTAGGTCAGTTTCGGCCGTGTGTTCTTCTTATCTGGTGCATTGTGGGATTGTTTGAGGAGGAGGATTAATGTTCTCGCCTTGTTTTCCACAACAGGGAGTAAACTTCTGCCCTGGTCAGGAGGTCCCCGGGGTCACGACACACACTCAGGAGGATCACAGCATGCGGCCGCTGATCTTCCACTTGGGCCGCGACCCCGGCGAGAGGTTCCCGATCAGGTGAGGCGCGATCAAGCTAACCGCTAACGCTAGCCAGAGCACTGTGCGCTTCATCATCTTCTGCATGTTGCCACTGGTGACCGTCGTTTGAAACTCGTCGTAAGTGTAATTACATCCAGTGCTGTTTAAATCTCCGCCATCCTCACACTCATAGCCGACTAGCCGAGACTCTTGTTGTGTGTACAGATGTGTGTGTGTACAGATGTGACGTAATGACGCAAAGACATGCTCCCACAGAGATCCTCCAGTATATCACTGGAGTTATAAACATTATTACAGTAATGTAGAGTCCTTCATTCCTCCGCTGTTCCAGATCAGCTCATTACTCTCTGACTACACCTGAACAACCACTGTAGATGAGGAAGAGCCAGTGTGTGTGTGTGTGTGTGTGTGTGTGTGTGTGTGTGTGTGCACCTGAACAACCACTGTAGATGAGGAAGAGCCAGTGTGTGTGTGTGTGTGTGTGTGTGTGTGTGTGTGTGTGTGTGCACCTGAACAACCACTGTAGATGAGGAAGAGCCAGTGTGTGTGTGTGTGTGTGTGTGTGTGTGTGTGTGCACCTGAACAACCACTGTAGATGAGGAAGAGCCAGTGTGTGTGTTGCAGGGTTGTTGTTGTGCACACACACACAACAACCCTGCAACACACACACACACACATCACACATCACACAACAACCCTGCTATACACACACATCACACAAACAACACAATGCACACACACACAAGTGCACACACACACATCACACAACAACCCTGCAACACATACAGCGCACACACACACACACACACATCACTGCACAAACACATCACACTCCACACACACACACATACATCACTGCACAAACACATCACACTCCACACACACACATACACACACACACACACACACCAGTGCACACACACATCACACTCCACACACACACACACACACACACCAGTTCACAAACACATCACACTCCACACACACACAACAACCCTGCTACACACACACACACACACACACAAACACAAACATCACACAACAACCCTGCTACACACACACACACAAACACACACACAAACATCACACAACAACCCTGCTACACACAACAGGCCAGGGAAACGTTTGGTCCTCGTGACCCCACGCCACGCTGACCTCTATCCCCCGAACCCAGAGCACTTCCGTCCCATCATGCCTCGGGGCTCGTGTGCTCACGACAGGCACTCCAGCCCTCCATCAATACAGCAGAAGCGGGAGAAAGCAGAGCTGTGTGTGTGTGTGTGTGTGTGTGTGTGTGTGACTTATTTTATTCATTGATTCAGTTATACTTGATGTTTCTGCCACGGGAATACCGATTCACTGCTGTTTCGTGTGTGTGTGTGTGTGTGTGTGTGTGTGTCAGTCTGGTGACACACCTGAGCAATACTCCTGCCCCTCTGGGTGTCATGCATTATAAATCAAAAGACTGTATTTGCATGCATTGTTATTATTAATCACGCATCTCACGGTGGTTCAGGAAACTGCTAACGAGTCGAGCTGACGGTGGATTTTCTATTGTTTGTCTGGACTCTGCGCATAAATAAACATGTTGTTGTTAATTATTGATTAGGGACCCAGGGGCATAAACACAGGCTTACAGTGAAGATGTACGGTCCCGTGGCTCATCTTCGTGAGTGGAAAAACAAACGATCTCAAGAGGAGACGGGAATTATTTCAGTGTATTTCTACATTAAAAGCAGAAGACTGAAGATTCTGTGGTAAAATCACTCTCAGACTCTGAGGTTTTGCCATGATCACTACAGAGTGTGCTTTTAAAAACCATGTTTGAACGAGAATGTCATTTTAATGTTATTTAAAGCGATATTTCACCCAAAAATGAAAACTCAGTAATGTCAGTAATAGGGATGGACAACAATTAATCGCGATTAATCGCATCCAAAATAAAAGTTTGTGTTTACATAATATATGTGTGTGTGGTGTGTATAATTATTTTGTATATATAAATACACACACATGCATGTATATATTTAAGAAATATTTGCATATATATACTTTATATATATTTATACATAATTAATATTATTTGATATATTAAGAACACATTTTTCTCAAATATATACATGCATGTGTTAGTATTTATACATATATATAAAATAATTATACACACCACACACACATATATCATGTAAACACAAACTTTTATTTTGGATGTGATTAATCGTTGTCCATACCTAGTCAGTAATCATGTCGTTCCAAACCCGTAAGATCTTCGGAACACAAATCAACATATTTTTGATGTAATCCGAGAGCTTTCTGTCCCTCCATTGACGTTCTACGCAACTACCACTTTACCTTATTGTTAGAATACCTAAAATATATGCTAGTAAAAGTGTTCTCTTCAGCCATTATCAGACTTGTTCTGCCTCGGTTTGAGCCACAAAAACCCTGTAACTGTTTGAATGCAGTTTTATAGATGCTAGAAACGTGTTTTGGTATTAAAGCGCACACCCAGGTTCCTACACTCTTAGAAGAAGAGGTTCTATATAGAACCTTATAAGGTTCTATCAGCACTACATATTTGGAACCCCTAAAAGGTTCTTAATCACTCTTAAAAAAAGGGTTCCACTGGGTTCTATATAAAACCCTGGGGTTCCATACTTGGCCAATAGAACCTTTTACAAAAAAAAATGGTTCTATATAGAACCCTGGGGTTCCATACTTGGCCAATAGAACCTTTTACAAAAAAATGGTTCTATATAGAACCCTGGGGTTCCATACTTGTTCAATAGAACCTTTTACCAAAAAAATGGTTCTATATAGAACCCTGGGGTTCCATACTTGGCCAATAGAACCTTTTACAAAAAAAAAAGGCTCTATATAGAACCCTGGGGTTCCATACTTGGCCAATAGAACCTTTTACAAAAAAATGGTTCTATATAGAACCCTGGGGTTCCATACTTGGCCAATAGAATTTTTTACCAAAAAAAAAGGTTCTATATAGAACCCTGGGGTTCCATACTTGGCCAATAGAACCTTTTACCAAAAAAATGGTTCTACATAGAACCCTGGGGTTCCATACTTGGCCAATAGAACCTTTTACCAAAAAAATGGTTCTATATAGAACCCTGGGGTTCCATACTTGGCCAATAGAATTTTTTACAAAAAAAAAAAAATGGTTCGATATAGAACCCTGGGGTTTCATACTTGGCCAATAGAACCTTTTACCAAAAAAATGGTTCTATATAGAACCCTGGGGTTCCATACTTGGCCAATAGAATTTTTTACCAAACAAAAATGGTTCTATATAGAACCCTGGGGTTCCATACTTGGCCAATAGAACCTTTTACCAAAAAATGGTTCTATATAGAACCCTGGGTTCCATACTTGGCCAATAGAACCTTTTACTAGGGATGCACCGAATATTCGGCCACCGAAAATTTTCGGCCGAAAATGGCCCAAAAGTGCATTTTCGGTTTTCGGCCGAAAGACTTTTATCACCGAAATAATACGGCCGAAATGTTGTCATGACGCAAACAGAAACCGCGACCTGCACGTGCTTGTCTGAAGCAACATGTCTGCGGTGCGGACGTATTTCAGTGTATCTGAAACCGCGAGGAGACGGAAGCCTTTATCCACTGCTCTAAACAATGCGCGCCGCCATGACAACGACTCCGGTTGCGAGCGGGTCAAGTATAAATCCCTCAACCGTTTGGAGCGGTGCGCGCGCTGTCTGTGGAGACTCGCGCTGCGGAGGCAGGCGAAAGTAAACAAGGCAGCGCGAGTCTCCACAGACAGCGCGCGCACCGCTCCAAACTGCGTTTTTGAAAGGCTCGCCGTTGTACTATTCCTTAAAACAACAGGGGACGACTCAAGTAACTGTCATCTAACCAGGAATCGGTGAGAAGAAGAAAGATAAACACATGACAATGTTTATTTTTTTAGTAGCCTATTCCACCACCAATACAAAAATAATCATGTTAAACCCAGTAAACCCTGAGATTATTACTTGTGACATTACAAATAGGCTAATATATTATGAGGACATGTATGTAACGTTATAGAACTAACATTAAATTAATGCTCTCTTAAATATGTTCTACATTCCTTATACATGTTTAGTGTTTCACTAAACAGGCTTTTTATGGTTTTGTATGCTAAATTTTTTAAATGTAAGCAACTAATTTAGACTTGAAACTAGGTGCTGGTGTGATGAGAAGTTCATGCTCGACTTTGTTTTTATGAGAGAACATTTAATTTTAAAACCTTTCTGCAGGCCATATTATTATTTAATGTACACATGAGTGGGGTGAATTTTATTTTATACGGTGCATTGTGCTAAATAAATATTTGTAATTGATTTATTCTTTGAAAATGTTATATTAATTTATGCAATTGTAATGCCTTGATTTTAGTAAAGTTTGTACACAGTCATAATAGCCATAAATGCAATGATACTAATAATTGGCATAATTTCTTTCGGTGTTTCGGTTTTCGGTTTTCGGCCTTGGTTTCCTCTTTTTCGGTTTTCGGTTTCGGCCAAGAATTTTCATTTCGGTGCATCCCTACCTTTTACCAAAAAAAAAAATGGTTCTATATAGAACCCTGGGTTCCATACTTAGCCAATAGAACCTTTTACCAAAAAAAATGGTTCTATATAGAACCATTTTGGAGTTCCATATATGAAGCGGGGGATGGAACCATTTCTGGTTCTAAATAGAACCACTTCTTCTAAGAGTGTAGTTAGTTAGTTCCCGACAGTATTCTGGGTTATTAAGTGCAGAGGATTTTGGTCCAATAATTAGAAACTCTGTTTTTTCAGAATTAAGTTTGTTGGAAATTACTAGTCTTCCAATGTTCTTATATCAGCTATGCATATCGTTAATTTTGTGAATTGATATGTTTCGTCAAGGAGCCAAGAAATCAGTGTATCATCAGCATAACAGCGAAAACTAATGCCTAATGATATCTCCCAAGGGTAACATGTACAGTGTGTGTGTGTGAACAGCAGCGGTCCTAGCACTGAGCCTTGTGGTACACCATATTGAACTTATGATCAATGCGACAAAACATTTCAGGCATTTAACAAAAAAAAAAACATTAGAAGTGCACATTGACGATGGAGCTGGATGATATCAAATGCTGAAATGCATCACTCGATTATATTGCCCCCCCCGTCATCGATCAATCATTGGTCCAGCACTCTCGAAAAGTGTTGTGATGTGTCGTGTCTCAGTGTTTATTATTTATTCATCTATTTTTCATTTGTTTATTTTCTCTTCCTTGCCTTCATGATTGTATGTTTGATGTGAGATGTCATCGCTGTTACTTATTGTCATTTGCAACTACGTCTGCCTTTTTTGAGAATTCGTTCATATTGTTTGTTCAATGCCTATTTTGTATATGAATTTGTTTATTTCTCAATAAAAATAACATAAAAAACTTGTACAATTTTTAAAAAAGGCTACAGAGGGGAGCAGATGTTAGCGTGCGGCTCGTTCCCGATAATCCCGCGGGAAAAGCAGAAGTGTAGAGACTGGAGGTGTGAGTCGGACAGCGCACAGGCTAATTACACTAATTGAACGCACACACACACACACACACACACATCATACCCTCCCCAGGGGCCAATCAGAAGAGTAGGACCAGCCTGACGCAGGTGTGTTAAGGCCATAATTGAAGTGCGGATATTGGTGGCTTCTGAGAATGTGTGTGAAGACACACACACACACACACACACACACATTCTCAGAAGCCCATTAAGTCCACAGGTCGTATCGAGAGCAGCGTTCGTTTGAAACCATAAGGGTCCAACACACACAATGAGAGGAGGTCACATGACCGCTTCCCTCGGGAACCTGTGTGTGTGTGTGTGTGTGAGTGAGTGTGGGATCACCTGTCTGTCACATTTGTTTTTTTTTTATGCATGAGCGAATAATTGATTAAAATTGATTGGTTGTTTTTACTCCAAAACCAAAAGAAAGTTAAAAGAAATTTTATTACATTTTATTTTGCATAAATAAAATCAAGCCTGTTGTTTTATTTAGAAATGAGAAATTCACCATAATTTCCCAATATCTACAGTGGTGTGAATAAGTGTTGGCACCCATGCTAAAGTTGCCTAAAAAGAGGAATAAAAAATCATCTTTTGGATGTTGATCTTAATGCTTTAATTAGAAAAATGAGGAAAACTCCAACCTTTAAGGACACACATTTTATTTGTAAATGAATAATGCATCATAATTAAATAAATGTTTTTCCTTAAAATACAGGGTGCATAAGTCATGTTAAATTCCCATAGAGTCAGGCAGATTTTTATTTTTAAAAGCCAGTTATTTCATGGATCCAGGATAATATGCATCCTGATAAAGTTCCCTTAAAATATCCCACATCATCACACACCTTCCACCACACCTAGAGATACATTATTCATTCACAAAGAAAATTGGTGTCCTTAAAGGTTGGGGTTTTCCTCATTTTTCTAATTAAGGCATTAAGATCAATATCCAAAAGATGATTTTTTTATTTCTCTTTTTAGGCAACTTTAAAATGGGTGCCAAAACTTATTCACACCACTGTATATTACTGCATCCTTCTCATGACCATTTCATAATTTTTTACTTGCAAGTCTCTCTTTTATTTTTTATTTTTGGCCCATTTTACCTGTAAAAGAAACGATCTGATTATAAGGTATTATAACGTCATCAAATATATATAAATTAATAGTAGTTATTAAGATAATAACATACATTAATGCATATTACCATGGTGTCTTATGGCTTTAGTCTCTCTCTCCTGCAGTGTTCTGTCTGAGGAGTATGAGGAGTTCGTCAGACGAGCGACTGCAGTCGTGAAGAAACATCAGGAACGTCTGATCCCTGCAGTTCCACAGCTCAACATGTGTGACGCAGCAGTGATGGTGACACACACACACACACATACAGTATATGTGAGATGAGCACATATAACTGATTAGACCTTACAAAGCATTATAAGGCGATTCAATGCATAATTAATGCATTCAAATATTTTAATAATGTATTTAAACATTTTTATTTTCTAAATAAAGGAAATAAACAAAATGACTAAATAATTTGAAAAATAATAATATTATTAATAATGATGAGCAGTCTTTGTAGGCTTTTCTCACTGTCTTTAGTGTCATTAATGTACAGAAGATTGTCAATGTAGACCAACAGCGCCATCCTGTGTTCACTGACAGTAACAGCGCCATCCTGTGTTCACTGACAGTAACAGCGCCATCCTGTGTTCACTGACTGTAACAGCATCAGAGTGTCTAGTTTCTAGCATCTTCTGTCTGTGTTCTCCAGAACTGGAGTCCTGCTGGCTGTGAGCGACTGGGAAAGTGTCTGAAACCACCCGAGTCCAAGCCGTGGAAGTGTGACTGGCCACATTAATGGAGTTTATCATCTACAATATTCCAGTTTAAAATGATATTTGTATTTTCTGTGTCTTTAAAAGGGATAATTCACCCAAAATTAAAAATCAGCCTATGATTTACTGTTACTCTAAGAATTATATGACATTCTTCTTTCAGATGAAATCAGAAAAAAATGTCCACAAAAGTGTATCTATCCATCATAAATTGGATATTTTGTATTATAACTCTGACTCTGGAGAAGAATGTCATATACAACTATGACTCAAGGGAGAGTAAATCATGGGCTTATTTCCACTTTTGGGTGAACTATTCTTTTAATTTAGTGTTTTAAAGCATTTAATTTTGACATCAAGAGTCATTGTAACTTTATTCTTAGAATATTTTGCGTTCATGAATATTGTTACACTTTTAGACGTTTGAGTGTTTCTGTCACGTCGAAACGGCATCGGGACTGAATGTGTGCAGATCGTTGGAGAATGTTCATAGAAACATCGACTGACGAACACGATTACCAAAACACACCACCATCCGTAAATACTGTATATTTATTTTAGCTAAATTATCATTTTGACTGTACAAGACTGTAAAATTGTTTGCTTATGTTCAAGATATTATACGATATTTGATATCTGTGCAGTTCATCTAAATGGACTCTTTCTTTAATTTTTTTCTTAAGGGGCAATAAAATATTTTTTTAAACTTGTTTATATAATAAAGTACAATAACAATGTAAACAATGGCGTTATGATTTTAAATCAGTTGAATTTAATCACTGCCTTCATAAACTTTTAGTATCCCACTTTTCACATTTATTGGCCTAAATGTTTGTAAGTCACTCTATATAGCTATATATATATATATATATATATATATATATATATATATATATATATATATATATATATATATAATTTATTTCGTAATATTTTTTCATTTACAAAAAATAAATAAAAGTATGTAACAAATGCTACAGTATACTTTTGATTTGTTTTTGTTTTTTTAAATTCGATTTTATCACTTTTTTATTGTTGTTGATTTACTATAGTCAGGCTGGTGCAATGAGTAAACCAAATAAACACATAAAAAGTCATATAGAAACAATTAAACAAAAATGTGCACATGTTTACAGACAGAAACACACTTTGCAGCTTGCTTATTCTTCAAACCCGATATATTGTGTTTAGTTATTGTTGAATTTCTGCAAACAAAGGCTTGTTTCCTCCAAATTTACATTTATGAATACTAAATTTAAGTAACAGAACACGCTACTTAAGTAATATTCCTTATGATAAGATTTGCCATAATAGAAAACACCAAATAACATTTTTAAGCTAAGAAATATGACCAAAAAGTATATTCGATGACGTGTAGGTCACGTGGTGAGGAAGCGCGCGCTATTGGTCGTCTCGTTCACGTGCTTCACTCCAGCGTCAGTCCGAATCCTCGCAGCGCGTGTGTGTGTCACGATGGAGGAGAAACTGGATTTAATCAGCAAGTGTATCAGAACTTTCCCAGATTTCCCCACGAAAGGGATTCCGTTCAAGTGGGTATTAATATTAATATCTCTCAGTCTCAGTTAAACGCGCGGCGGAAGCGCGTTCACGAGGGACTAGTTTTAGAGAGTGTTTAATGTGTGTTTCGCAGGTATATTATTGGTTTCAGGTGTGTGTGTGTGTGTGTTTCGCAGGGATATTTTCCCGATCCTGAAGAACCCAAAGGCTCTGACTGCAGTGATAGATCTGTTTGAGGAACACGTGAGGAACTCTTACTCTCAGCTGGATCTGATAGTCGGTAAGAGGACAATCATAACTCGATCTGCACATTAATAACTGAAACTGAACGTTAATAACTGGATCTGCACATTAATAACTGAAACTGCAGATTAATAACCACATTAATAACGGGGTCTGCACATTAATAACTGAAACTGAACGTTAATAACTGGATATGCACATTAATAACTGAAACTGCAGATTAATAACCACATTAATAACTCGATCTGCACATTAATAACTGAAACTGAACGTTAATAACTGGATCTGCACATTAATAACTGAAACTGCAGATTAATAACCACATTAATAACGGGGTCTGCACATTAATAACTGAAACTGAACGTTAATAACTGGATCTGCACATTAATAACTGAAACTGCAGATTAATAACCACATTAATAACTGGATCTGCACATTAATAACGGGGTCTGCATATTAATAACTGAAACTGCAGATTAATAACCACATTAATAACGGGGTCTGCACATTAATAACTGGATCTGCTCATTAATAACTGAAACTGCACGTTAATAACCACATTAATAACTGGATCTGCACATTAATAACTGAAACTGCAGATTAATAACGGGATCTGCACATTAATAACTGGATCTGCTCATTAATAACCACATTAATAACGGGGTCTGCACATTAATAACTGGATCTGCTCATTAATAACTAAAACTGCACGTTAATAACCACATTAATAACGGGGTCTGCACATTAATAACTGAAACTGCAGATTAATAACCACATTAATAACGGGGTCTGCACATTAATAACTGAAACTGCACATTAATAACCACATTAATAACGGGGTCTGCACATTAATAACTGAAACTGCAGATTAATAACCACATTAATAATGGGGTCTGCACATTAATAACTGGATCTGCTCATTAATAACCACATTAATAACTGGATCTGCACATTAATAACTGGAACTGCACATTAATAACTGGAACTGCACGTTAATAACCACATTAATAACGGGGTCTGCACATTAATAACTGAAACTGCAGATTAATAACCACATTAATAACTGAAACTGCAGATTAATAACCACATTAATAACTGAAACTGCAGATTAATAACCACATTAATAACGGGGTCTGCACATTAATAACTGAAACTGCACATTAATAACCACATTAATAACGGGGTCTGCACATTAATAACTGAAACTGCAGATTAATAACCACATTAATAACGGGGTCTGCACATTAATAACTGAAACTGCACATTAATAACCACATTAATAACGGGGTCTGCACATTAATAACTGAAACTGCAGATTAATAACCACATTAATAATGGGGTCTGCACATTAATAACTGGATCTGCTCATTAATAACCACATTAATAACTGGATCTGCACATTAATAACTGGATCTGCACATTAATAACTGAAACTGCACGTTAATAACCACATTAATAACGGGGTCTGCATATTAATAACTGGATCTGGTCAAAGTTAGACTGAACTGATTAAATACAGTGGCATTAATGATTGTTAGAGTCCTGTTGTGTAATGTGTGTTACAACCTTTCGCAACACTTTATTTCAGTGTCCTTGCTCCATACACTTACCGTAACAATAACAGTAAATTATGCATAATTACATGAAACTAACCCTCAACCAAACCCCAATCCTATAGTAAGTACACATTGTTGCTTAATATTACTCAGTACTTAATTACATTATAACAATGACACCTTAAAATAAAGTTTAACCCTTTATTTACAGTTTAAAGGAACAATGTTGAATTGAAAGAGGACTTAAAGTGGCCATGGAGTCAAAATCAAAGTTGTTTTAAAACGCACACACACACACTAACTACACACACTTGACCCCTAAACCTACACACCTCAACACTTTCTGCATTTATTTTTCAGAAACTTTTAATTACTTTATTTTATACCAGATTTACAATTGAGGACGTGCCTAAAGGGAGATTCTGGGTACAAATTTGTTCCCAAAATATAGTTAAGTAGGTACACACAGTATATGTGAGCTGAGCACATACTGTCACTCACTATATTTACGGAAATGACACAGTTTCCCATAATTCTAAAATCTTATATTAATAGTATTACACAGAGAATCTCAGACACACACACCAGAAGAGAAAGGACTGATGCTGTATCGACTTCTGCTCGTTCTGTAGTGTAACCGAGTGCCTGTTAACCCTCTGGGGTTGTTCGTTTCAGAGTCACACTCGAGGTGTTCGGGTCCAAATGGAGCCAAAGGGCGGGATTCATATAAAAAAAAAAAAAAAAAAAAAAACTTTTTTTTTTTTACTCGTTTTTTATAATATTTTCTCTTTTCTTTTTTGGTGTTTTGAGAAAATTAAAAAAAAAAAAAAATTATAATTAATATTAATGCAATAATTATGACAAAATTTCCCCCATTGAACATAATAGAAAAAATATTTAAAAAAATATATATACTTTTTAATTTTTTTTAAAGCTGTATTTCATTTTAGAGTCAAGCCTAGGCCTCATAAAAGCAATTTTTGAAATGAGATGGATGCCATCTGGTGGACAAACTGAGCATTTTAAAAATGCAAAACATGTATAATCTGAATTTTTTTGGTGTGTGTGTGTGTGTGTTTTGCACTCTTGATGTTTTATAGATTCACCCCTTCACTGTTGTGTGCCTTTTTTCAAGATCGTGGCTGATTTGTAGATTGTACGCTCAAAAAAACTCACATATTTTCACATTTTTGCCAATTTCCCATTCATTTTCCATGCGAACACCCCAAGTGTGACTATTTTTTTTACAACCACTTAGGCTACGTCCACATTAATCCGGATAGATTTGAAAACGGGGTTTTCGTTTAAAAACGCTCTCCGTTTTCAGGCGTTTTCCGACGTTTCAGTGTGGACGAGAAACTTCTAAATTCACTTTACTGCGCATGCGTAAAACTTCACAAAAGCTCACTGAGATGATACAGATGGGAAAATAAATAATAAAGGTATCGCACAATAACAGGATAATTTTTATTTAGCAAAATATCTCACCATCACTGATGTCGCATTCAGTCACCATATTATGTTTGGTCTAAAACGCAACTGCTCTCCTGTTTTGCCGCAGGACAGCAAATGTGAGTAGACTACATTATCTGTCATCTTTGCAGTGCTGAGCTATGAAGAATAGCACATATTAAGTAACATATTTTAGCAACAGTGTAAAAATGAATAACACATAACAGGCACAATACCGATAAACATGAATATCTATTGGTACTACATGGATCACATGACTAAACTTACGTCATCGTTTTGAAATACCTCCGGTTTCACTGTCCACACTACAACGCGAAAACGGCGTTTTCAAATTTATCCACTTTGGAGAGCGTTTTCCAAACGATACGTTTTTGTTGACTTAAAACGCCGTTTCAGTGTGGACGGAAGGCCAAAACGGAGAGAAAAATATATATGTTTTCAAACATGGCCTTAGACTACTCACATCCTGTCCTCAATTTTTTGGGGTGTTTATATACCAAATACCAACAAAGTCACCAAATTTCGGACCATCCCGAGGAAGCTGTGATTTAAAAAAAATGTATTTAAATTCTTCGGGTCTATTTGGGTCGAACAACCCCGAAGGGTTAAATATAGGACAGCTGTGAAAGATTAGATATTAATCCTTACGTCTACTGGAGCATTTGATCATACCAAACGCTGAGTTTAACGTACACTTCGACTCTGTAACGTGTGTGTGTCCGTGTTTCAGGACTGGACGCTCGAGGGTTTCTGTTCGGGCCGCCGCTGGCTCTGAGGTTGGGAGTGGGATTCGCTCCGATCCGGAAGAAAGGGAAACTCCCCGGGCCGACGCGAGCGGTGGCGTACAGTCTGGAGTACGCGCAGGTAACTTACAGCACTTATAATGAGTTATGCAGTCTTCAGTGGCACATTAAACATGTGCATGTTCCATATATATTATTATTATTATTATTACATCATAAAATGATTGTCTGAGCTCGTGTGTGACGTTTCAGGCCGAGGCCGAGATGCAGGAGGACGCCGTTTCTGAAGGACAGAAGATCCTGATCATCGATGACTTACTGGCCACTGGAGGTGTGTGTGTTTATAGACTCGTTACATGTAAAGTGAGATATTTCAAGCCGTTATTTGTTATAATTTTGATGATTATGGATTACAGATATGAAAATCCTAAATTCAAAATTAGAATATTGTGAATATTTTTGATATCTGTAATCCATAATCATCAAATTATAACAAAAAAAGGCATGAAATATCTTTTCAAGAAAAAATATTATTATTTTTTTTACTTGTTTTTATAATATTTTTCTTTTTTTTGTGTTTTGAGAAAATTTTAAAAAAAAAAAAAATGTATAATTAGTATTAATGCAATAATTATGACCAAAATTGCCCCCATTGAATATAATAGAAAAAAATGTTTAAAAAAAAATATATATATATTTTTTTAATTTTAAAGCTGTATTTCATTTTAGAGTCAAGCCTAGGCCTCAAAAAAGCAATTTTTGAAATGAGATGGATGCCATCTGGTGTGTTTGTGTATAAAAGTGTGTGTGTGTGTGTCTGTTTTGCACTCTTGATGTTTTATAGATTCACCCCTTCACTGTTGTGTGTTTTTTTTTCAAGATCGTGGCTGATTTGTAGATTGTACGCACAAAAAAACTCAGTATTTTCACATTTTTGCCAATTTCCCATTCATTTTCCATGCGAACACCCCAAGTGTGACTATTTTTTTTACAACCACTTAGACTACTCACATCCTGTCCCCAATTTTTTTGGGTGTTCATATACCAAGTACCATTAAAGTCACCAAGTTTCGGACCATTCCGACGAAGCTACGATTTTTAAAAAAAATTTATTTAAACGCTTCGAGTCATTATTGAGGGGGTTAAAAAGGCGGAGGATATTTGCACAGAGTTATGTAACAAAATACACATTTCTATACTTTATAACCACTAATGCTGGAGTTACATTACGTAATCACCTACAGTACATTTGTCAGGAAACTTAAATTCTGAGGTGTGTGTGTAGGAACACTGTGCGCGGCGTGTGAGCTGATCCGACAGCAGAAAGCCGAGGTTTTGGGATGTTTGGTGGTCGTCGAACTCAAAGATCTCAACGGATCCGACAAGCTGAAGCCGACGCCAGTCTTCTCTCTAATCCAGTACTGACGTCTCTGAGGACACGTGTGTGTGTGTGTTTACATCTCAGAAATACAAGCAATTTAAATCAACACTTCACCCTTAATGGGTTTAATGGTGTTAACTCCACCAGGAGAGTTAAGTAAAGAAAGACTTCTGTGGTTGTGATGGGAGAAATTAAGCTTTTTGAATCAATTGCTTGATAAAATAAACCGAACCTGGCGCCCCCTGCTGGCCAGAACAGTGGAAATGCAGTCAGAAAAACACATCAGTTAATTAACGAGTCGTCTAACAGCAGTAAATATGAAGTGTCTGTAGAATGTTATTGATTTGTTGGTAAACTTGATTAATCGGACCAGTAAGAAACTCTAGTTTCACGGAGCATCGCCCTCTTGTGGCGAAATATTGATATTTTAAAATCAATGACTGTAGCAGATTGACGCTCACTCTGAACCACTGGTTCAAAACACAATTCACAAAACTATTGTTTACACCATAGAATTAAAAATATAAAAGGTAATTGCGACTTTTTATTTCGCAATTCTGACATTATTTCTCAGAATTGCAAGATGGAAAGTCAGAATTGAGAGTTATAAAGTCAGAATTATGAGTTATAAAGTCAGAATTGCGAGATATATAGTCAGAAATGCGAGTTATAAAGTCAGAATTGTAAAATTTAAAATATTCTAAGTGATATATCTTAAAAACTTATTTCCCCCTCAAAATTGGCCTGATAAGTCGCTATTGCGAGTTTATAACTCACAATTCTGAGAAAAGATGTCAGAATTGACATATAAACTCGCAATTATATCTTATGAAGTCAGAATTGCGAGATGTAAACTCGCAATTGTGAGAAAAAGTCACACTTTATATCTTTTCTCGCAATGCGACTTTTTATCACGCAATTCTGATTTTTCATCTCACAATTCTGAGAAATAGTCAGAATTGTAAGATATAAACTCGCAATTGTGAGAAAAAAAAAGTCAGAATTGTGAGAAAGTCACAATTATTTATTTATTTATTTTTTTATTGAGCGGCAGAAACAAGCTTCCAAACAAAACGGTTCAAAATCACCAGTAAAGCTGTGTATCGTATGGTTTGAGTTTGTGCAATCCATTCCCCATGTCATCATTGTTATGTGACCAGGAACTTGATTTGCAATTCTTTTGTGCAATTCTGAGTCTCTACAAGTGATGTACAGAGAGAGAGAGAGGATGAAACACCACTGCTAGCATGAACTAGTTTATTGTAAATGATTGGATGCATTAATCTTGTAATTGATTCCTCCATGCCAACATCCATGAACTTCTTGTGCCAAGATGCAGAGAACCATGTCACAACCTCGGTTAAAAACGTAGTGACTTGTAAAATACAAAGTATGAACAAATGAAACTAAAAACGAGTCTTCTCCATAATAAAAGTTCAAATCCATGATAAAAATATTGCACATGATAGTCTGGGGGGTTTTCTTCGGCTCAGACACACTCCTTCATCTTCTGGTTCAGGGCGTTCAGCACAAGGTTCAGGTCCGTGCTCTTGTTCAGCTTCAGGTACAAGTCTTTCCTGATTGGATGAATCGTGAGCCACGCTTCAGTCGACTCGGCCAATAGGCGAAGGTGCTTCTCCATCTCGTCTAAAGACAGAAATAAACAATATATGAATGATCCACTAGCATGAAAAATGGATATTAAGAGCATATTAGCTTTGAGAAAACCTACCGAATCATTCTTTTATCATCACGATTAGCAAAGCAACACATTGTGAAATCAAACTTGACTTTTTTTGTGGATTGCAGAGTTTATTATACATTGTTTGTGTGGTAGGGCTGTCAAAATCAAAAGATAAACTCTAATTTCTCTTAAATATTTGCAAAAATCTGATTTGAGTTTTAAAGGCAATACTTTAATGTAAGAGGAATAAAGTTCTGTAGTCTCTAATGTCCACAAGAGGACGCAAGCGAGCGCAAGCAAATATATGTTTCCTTAAAATGTTAATTTCTTAATAAAATTATTTCTTATTTAATATAATTATTTCTTAATTTCCTGAAAAATAATTATTTCATTAAATGTTCATGCAAGGAAAACTAGGCAACAATAGTGGATGAAACTGTATGCGCGTCTCCTTTATCTTAGCTTATGCATTATTTGTGGGTAATCGGCGATATTGAATAAATGTTTTAAATATTTTGCATAATTTATAGCTAGTGCGCTTTAATGTTGAACCAGGAAGTTTGTTTTGAAATGCTTTAATTTTGTACAAACTGGAACAAACTTCCTGCTTAAACGTTAAAGCGCACTAGTGTAATGAATACAAAATATTCACATTATTCAATATTGCTTTAAAATTATGCACAAATCGAGGTGCAAAAGCCCATACGATCCAAAAAAATAGATATAAAACATGTCATACTTAGAAAACAAGTTTTCAAATTCAGTATTTGGTGATTTGGAGTAATGACAGATTTATAAATCACTTTTCGTAGGTCAGGGTTTAAAATAAATAAGTCATACCATGGCTTAGTAAAATCAGTATGTTTTAGTCCAATGTGCATATTCAGAAAAAAGAAAATCCCCAAATGACCCGAACACGACCTGAGGGTTAATCCCGTTCCTGCACATCTCAAACATCAACAAATGTAGCAGGGAAACTTATTCTGAACTAAGAAGCGGGTCTTTCTTTCAAAATATTAGAATATTTAATATAATATATTCTTTTAATATCTTAAAAGGTCTTAATAATCTTAAACGTAGGGCTGTACGATTAATCTTTCTTTCAAAACATAATATATCTTAATGATCTTAAATGGGTCTTAATTACTTTAAAAGATATTAAAACAATCTTAAATAGGTCTTAAAGGGATAGTTCACCCAAAAAATGAAAATTATATCATTATTTACTCTCCATGTCGTCCCAAACCCGTAAGACGTTCGCTCATCCTCAGAATCTGATGAAATCCAAGAGGTTTCAGTCTCTCCATTGACATGAACGTCATCGACACTTTCAAGGCCCAGAAAGGTAGTAAAGACACCATTAAAACGGTCCATGTCGTGCCATCGACATCGACGTGCGGTTTACACTTCAACAGCGTAGGAGAATGACATGGATGTGAAGAGATTGTTGAATACAGTCGTTATTTTAGGTTTTTTTGCACGCTTCATAACATTAATATTAAACCACCGGAGTCACATGGACTGTTTTTACGGTGTCTTTACTACCTTTCTGAGCCTTGAAAGTTGCATGACGTTGCCGTCTATGGAGGGACACAAACCTCAGATTTGTTTAGAAACATCTTCATTTGTGTTACACTGAAGATGAGCGAAGGCAAGGGCGAGTCATTACTGACACAGTTTTCATTTTTGGGTGAACTCTCCTGGCTTTAATTTCTTTAAAAGGGTCTTAAAATGAGATATTTTCTAAATAACTGGAGCACTGACCGCAGCTGAGCGGAGAACGGTAGCTCGCGATCACACGGTTGCAGACGAGCTCCATGAGGAGGGCCGGCTTCTTCTCCGCTACGAACACGTTGCGCAGGATCCGGGCTAGCTCCGGCAGCCGTGACATCATCACCAGGCGCCGCTCCTGCTCCGGGTCTCTCGTCATCGCGGCCCGCAGCTTCTGAGCCTCTTTAGCTCGAATCTGAAAAGAGACCGATGCGGATTAAAAAAAAAAAAAAAGATGGACGAAACTCTTTTACTCTTCCATTGGTGAAAAGGTGTCTTCAACCAAAGATTTGAGTAGGGCTGTCAACTTTAGTCGTTTAGTCGACTAGTCGGTCGATGCCGTCTTGGTCGACTGACATTCTTATTGGTCGACCAGTCGCATTTTTTTTTTTACCAATAGAAAGAATTTTTCAATGATTTACTCCTTTTATAAGCAGTTATTTATTACTGTATTCTAAATATAATTAGCCTATGTTTTGTCCCCAACTTTAAAATGCGTTAATTTAGGCTATTTTTGTAACTGCGCCACAGTTTACCGCACACACATAATACACTCGGGAACCGCACCTGTGGCCGGCTGCGCTGCTGCTCGCGCTCGGTAAGGGACGCTGTATTCATACGCCTTATTCACGGCAGCGCCATCTTTGATTTTTAATGAGAATGACAGCGAGGCTGTGAGGGATAGACTTGCATCTCTTCAATGGGCTGTACTGTTATTTAATGTGTTTTCGGATTGTTCTGCTCATGAAACACTGGAAAAATATCTTTCCAAGAAATTTCAGTTGACAAAAAACTCCTGACAATGTAAGCTTTGGAAAATTGTAAGTAATCTGGGAGCTTTATTCAGCTATGATGCCATTGGAAACACGGTACGTCTATCCCTCACAGCCTCACTTTCATACCTGTCATGGCGCTGCTCTGAATAAGGTCTATTCAGTTAGAGCGCTGCTTGTTTTGGCTTTAGTCGACAAAATGTCCAGTGTCTGGCTGCATTTTAAAACAAAGACGACAAGACTGTGGAGGGAGGCGATTTATGAGCACGCAAGTCGCACACCTACGATTGAAATCGAACTTGAGCGCGCAAAAGATGCAAGCAGCCTTTTAACGGCTATATCATGCTGACTCAATAGATTGTGTTTTCGTTTTTATTTGTACACTTGACGCATTTGAAAATAGTCTAAATAATGCGCAAAACGAAAATAAACCTATATGCGGTCCTACAGCTTATTATTAGGATTGTTTAGGCTATTTGGGTTTGTGTGTTGTTTTAAAACGTCTTGATCGTCAGGACGAAAGTTAACCCAAAGCTTTGAAAGTAAAGAAGAATATAAAGCCTGTATAAACGAGAGCTTTTGTTGGGATTTTTCATGATGTGGCAGATAGCAGTTATATTTTGTAGCGTGTGGTGTGGTCAGGTGCGCGATTGGACCGAGGACACAGCTCTTCACTTTTTGCAGTTAAAAAAAATAAATAAAAATCACTTAATTTTCAAAGAATTGTATTATTATCATAGTTTTATTTATTTGTGATGTTTTTTCGTTGTTGTTTTATAAATGCTCAATGACAATTGTTTAAAAAATGTTTAATCAAAACATTTTTTTTGTTGTTTTTTTTTTTAGTCGACTAATCGTTGCGCAGGATGAGACTTTGGTCGACTACAGCCCTAGATTTGAGACCTGGAGCCGCGATATCAACTGTTAGTACAGTTTACGGTAGAATAACTCGTGTCGGTGAGAAATAAGCGGTTATGAAGTGTAGAAATTAAAGTACAAGCTCCCAAATCTCTTCCCAAAAAGTCTGTTGGTGCTTCAGTGACTATGTTTAGAGAAGCTGACGTCACTTTCCCGTTAAAAAAATAAATAAATAAATATCCAAGACTTAAACTAACATCAGCGTGATAAAAACAAGCTAAAAT